TGAATCTTCCCAGAATCAGCCCAACTTATATGATCAACCACCCGGCAATGTAAGTAAAGAGGAAATGGGATCCGAAGAGTGGCTGAGGAGTGGGATAGGGACAGAAGGGGTACGAGGAGGACTGTTTGCTGTAACACTAGTAGGAACTATAACTAAATAATGAATTGAATGACTACTTTATCTGTTTGCACCTGACTGTGAAAACTTCATCTTGCTGCAATTGAAACGCCAATACGTTATCGTAACGGTAAGCAATTGATTTTCCGATGCATTTTGGGAAGCTTATTTACATTTGTACACCATACAGCATGCTAATTGTAAATGCCGGTGCTGTATTTTCAAAACCATACTATCATTGCACCAGTAATGCAATCGCAACAGTAGTGCAATTACTGAACTTACAGCTGATTCTCCCCCTCTAAAAATCCCAATGAATCATATATGATACAAAATACAATTATCATCACTATTGTGTTATTTTCGTATGAATAAATAATACGAGAGCAACTCGAATGCCTCGCGAGTGTGTTTTGAGGACTACATCTCGACCAAGAGTGGCCTCGGGTGGGTGATCGCCATGTCCGATTAACATAATCATACACCATGGCTATTTAAGGAGCACACACGCCTCTATTCTAATTTCTCCGGAATAATCTGACATTTAGCCACAATCGGCATCGTGAATCTTGACTCAGCTGATGGTAGGGGTGGCGTACTTCGCAGTCCAGCCACTGAACGCCGGGCGGACAAAGAAAACGACATGTGCGGCATTGTGACGGTCGACGTGACATGCCTGTTGCGATTTTGTTTTGCTCTCGGTATTGCTCAATTCTTGACATACTGAGCCTATGAAATTCACGTATGTACTTTCAAACATTCTGCATCAACTGGCAAAAACCCTGAGACGTTCCGGCAAAATTTGCACTATAGGGAGCCCAGATACTGAAAAAGTTGCATTACTGGTGCAATGATAGTACAGCCTGTATATTCAACTAATAATTTGCAATCTGGTATGACAAGTAACACCATACCAGTGAGGTTTATATTCACTTGTAGTTAAATGATTACAGTCCTGGTTTTTGCTGATGGCCAGTGCACCTACTGTCAATGATCATAATGACGTCGAAGATATGACCAAAGCCCGCTCGAGGCATCACCAAAACGCACAAAACAATACCCGCAAAGGTTGCACTTGTCAGCCTATTAAAATCCTGGTGTAACTAAGTATATCTGAATAGAAAGGCACAAATGTGCAGACTGTGGTCCCCCAATAACACACCATGTCGGATCATCTGATGATTGCATGGTATTATATTCTTTTGTGTACTTTGCTAATGCGGCTGTACCTTCGATACCACTATAGTATCGAGTGATTGCGATACGCCCAGAATGCACTCACAAAAAAACCAATTGACCACTGCGAGTGGCCAAGGATCAGAATGCCTGTACAAGTAGTAACTGTGAAACAGGCCTAGGACAGCCGCTTCCTTCTGACTCAGCCAGTGAGCAATAGTTTTAAACGCCAGGTAGCTCAACCTATGAAAAAAGAAACATGTCCCCACCTTGTATGCGCAATCTATTTTGTGAAGCTAGTTATGCCGCTAAATGTGAGTTCCCTTGGAACTTATCGCTCATTCATAATAATTTACAAGGACACTGGATCTCTCAGGGTACGAAGCCGGGTCTCGGCGTGATGTTGGCTACAGAGAGGTGAGACAGAGGAATACGAGATTCGGCCCACCACTCAGCAGCTACTTAAGTTAGATGGTAATAGTCATTTTAGTAAATCAAACGCTAATTCATGAAAACGTCACACGACTCACACTAGCGGCATAGACTTCTTTACACCAACAAATCTGGCCATGATCTCATTGAGCGAGGCAAGCATCAACATCCTTCAGGAAGACATACGCCTCACTCGGCTGCAAAGCAAATGGAGAGATCTTCTCAGATAACTGTCTGGGAAGTTAAGACATACACTGCTGCGGGAGAGGCAAGAATATAATATATCCGTAATATGGTCATGTATCTAGACGCCCAAATCCATGCACTCAGAAAGTATAAGCCCGAGGACGCACTTCAGGTTTACTCAATGCTCGCTCGAACCACTCGACTGCCGCAAGATCCAGCACGACCCGCGGCCACTTGACAACATCGTAAACCTTCATATCCTTCGCCGAAACAGCCGCCACATGCTTCATGTTGCGACTGGCCCTTTGCAATCCTTCTGGCAGTGATTGATGCCCCGAAACGAACAACGTCTTCTTCCACCCGAGCTCCTCAATTCTTCGCGCAAACTCCCGTGTCTTCGCACCAGGCCAATCCAAGCTTTCCACGATGCCTAGCGAATTCTCCTTTACTCTGGCACTTAGGGCGACACGCATTCCCATCTGGATGACCTTCCGGTTCAGTTTGGTGCTGAAGTCGCGCGGTTTTGGCCCAAATGCGATACCACCACCACGCAGCATAGGACTTTGGCCATCGCCAAGACGAGCTCTTCCGGTTCCCTTTTGCGGTCGAATTTTGCGTCCTGAACCTCGCACCTCACCGCGCGTCTTGGTAGAAGCCGTTCCTTGTCGCAAGGAATCGAGGTGGTGAACAACACAAAGGTGTAGGATATCACGTCGAATAGGGTGAGAGAATACGTGTGGATCGAGCTCTACCACGTTATCCGATGCTGACGAAGAGTCCTCAGTCGGTAGAACCAATGATGACATTGTCAGATACACAGGCTGGACGAACGGAGCTGAGGCTGCGAATATCTAAACAATCCATATCCTTGAGTATACGCAGACATAGGCGTACCTGACGTCGATGTAGCAGTGTCACCATGAAGAACCGGCGGTACTTGAGTCCCTACATATTGCGCGAGAGAGGCCTGAGAGGACCCGGCCATCGTCACCGTCGACAGCCGACGGTACGGAAGCCGAGGGGCCTTGTAGAATGATTTAGGAATCTAGGCTGTTCAAAACAATCCGAGCACACCTACCTGTCCAAGGGCTCGTCCGACTATGGACAACATGAAAGCAAACTTAGCAAGGGACGGTGTTGTGGGCGCTAATTGAACAGGACCATATCCGTGGGAAATTCATCTGGGCTGGTCGCCGGAGTCGAGGGACCGCGAGCCTCGTATCAACATCCCGCAAGTTCAAGGCAAGTGTTAGGGTAAGTCCATAGCCTGACATGCTGTTCTTGTCTCCAAAGGGCTGTTGTCGATGTATATCACGAATTGCGCGCGGATTTGTGGCAGCAGTGGATGGATCGCACTGGCGTACCTCGGATGACATCCCCGACCGTCTTGCACCTACACTTCTCACCTCCCGTTTCGTGGAACATGCGCTTAAACCTTCGTTGTTACTAGCGTCTCGTTTGCCCACAAATTCCGATTAGGACTCCTTCAAAATGGCGTCGTCAGTGAAGGCCGTTCAAACATTTGGTAAAAAGAAGGTGCGCTCAAGCTTAGCTACTTCAGCTTGGTCTCTTCGTCTAATTTGACGCACACAATATATCTCTAGACCGCTACCGCAGTCGCGCACGCCAGAGAGGGTCGTGGGCTTGTCCACCTCAATGGTTCTCCCATCAGCCTGCTAAACCCGGAGATTCTGCGACTCAAGGTATACGAGCCCATCCTCGTCGTGGGCGAGGAGTCGTTTGGTGTCATGGACATCCGTGTGCGTGTTAAGGGTGGTGGACACACGTCGCAGGTGTATGCCATTAGACAGGCGATTGCCAAGGCACTGGTTGCGTACTACGCCAAATACATCGATGCGTACAGTGCGATGGAGCTGAAGAAGAAACTCGTTGCGTACGATCGGACACTATTGATTGCGGACCCAAGGAGGATGGAGCCCAAGAAGTTCGGTGGCGCTGGTGCCCGTGCACGCAGGCAAAAATCGTATGTGATCATCATTTGGCTTTTGGAGGTGATACTTATATCGCACTCTCAGCTACCGTTAAGCTGTATCATTGACATCGCCACTCTGCTTTACATGTCATGTTTTACCATTGCCCTCCTTTCTATGCCATGGCATCATGCAAATGTCTTGACTGTTTGCATGATCGTTTGAAACATCAATTCATGTCAATCATGATAGTAATGCTTGTGCATGTCCTGTAAATTGCGTTTCAGAGGGGTTTGCAGTTCCATTTCTGGCAATAGCCGTGTCATGAACTGTGAGCGACATGCCTTGGATGACATACGTCTGTAGGCATTCAAAAATCTGGTCATGAATCCATTCGCCTACTTGTTGAGGATTAGATCTAACCGTCTAAGGTAATGCGCTAGTGGGAGTATGTGTATCTCTCGCAGGATCTTCGCTTGGACATTGGTCGGACCTTCAGCAGAGGAGCGACCGCCGACTGGTCAGCAGTCACTACACCGTAGTACGTCGTACGACGCCCAGCAAGCTCAGATAGTTCGAGCCACGTGTGAACCATGTCATGGTGCAGTACGCGCCACAAGTTAGCAAGCCACCGACAGGCCACCTAGGCTTCCCGACTCTTGACTGCTTGCGTCTCATCTAACTTTAGTTTCCTTCCTTCCTAGCAAGTTCTTGCATGGATGTAACTGCTACCGATATGATGTCTTCTCAAAATGGAGGATCAAAACTAGTATTCTTGAACTCATCTGGCCGGCCTCTTCATGTTTTCGTAGAGACGGCAGAGTTCTTGTATCGGCCAAAACTTATTCGCGAGCTGCGAGTTGCGTTTGTCCCCCTAAACTTTCTCGGACCAAGCTGATGTTCGTTCTAGAGAGGAGGTGCCATTATCGCCCATTATCCATCGGAAGCGCAGATTATCCTAGTAGACATGGAAACAGAAGCCGGGAAACAGTTTGTGACCGACTGGGGATCTGAGAAGGTCATTCTTAATTGGCAATGGGCTCGTAAGTCGATTGATATTGGTCGAGCTCTCCTCGCCGAAGATGATTGGGGAGGATACCGGATTGACGACCAGAACAGGATCCTGAGTAATAATTTTGAGCAGTGTGTACCTCGTTTTGTTCGTATTCCCTCTTAGCTTGCTCATTCACAGAAGAAGTCCTCTACCTACTCCTCTCCAAACTCCTCCGCACGCGAACTTGTCGGCTCCTGATTTCAGTGATCACAGTACTCTCTCATCGAGCACATCAAAGACTCTCATCCCCCCCGTCGTTCCAGTTCCAACAATGCAAATATCAAATGGTGTAGGCACGGCGCCTCCAATACCCGTACCATCACCACTGGCTGTAACAGCAGAGATAGCTGCTGCAATGGCCCTGCTATCGCCCCAAGGCATACAGCAACTCTTGACACAGCTTCGCGCTGGCTTGATGTCTTCATCTCAAGTGATTCCACCAATTCTTGCCGCTTCGCAAGAGAACCAACCAAGCTTGCCCAACTTAAAAGAGCTTGAAGTAAATGGCCAATATTCACCCGAAACATCTCAGAGGTTGTCAGTCATGTCTGAGGATAGCGTTCTCTCTGCTCCTGCTTTTACCGCCTCGCCTAGCCTGAAACGCAAAGAACTGTCTCCCGAAACGCTTCAACAGTCGAATTCGCTTCAATATAAAGACAGAAAACGCAGACGATCCGATTATTCGCGTCCAGTTGCCGGTACTAGCACAGTAACCATCAATTCTTTATCCGCACCATCGTCATCTCAGGCTCGACTATCCAGAACTTCACGGAACGACGAGGAGATATTTAAGACGGATGCAGGCGATTCCATGATGTTCTACGTCCAAATTGAGACGAGGAATAGAGGTGAAGTAGTACAGTCGATTAGGGTACGTCTTCCAAACTTGGCTCTTTCTGCACTTACCGTGGAAGCCCTCTACAGAAACACGGAGGGAAAATTGTGCCCGACATACCCCAAGCGGATGTGGTTATTCTAGCGCAACACACGAAACCATTCAGTGATTGGCTTAGGAGAGCTCAGCAAGCAAAAAGGCCAACCGCGCAAGCGAGTTATGTCCACGATTGTATAACAGAGGGCTCGATTCTGGATATAGAACCCTATTCTTTCGGGGATTTTGACTTTGAAAGAAAGCGAGGCCGTCCTAGCAAGAGCCCTCGTAAGGTGAGCAGTCCGGAGGCTAAAGTAAAGAAAAACAAGTCCATGCCCAAGGCGAAAGCATCTCGCGACAAAGGTGCGGAGAACGGGACGTCAGAAGGAGAACACTGGGAACATTCGCCGTCTCCGCCACGACATATAGTGACTAAGGGTGGCAAGAATCTCTTCACGTCAGAAGAACACGAGTATTTTTTGCGCTACATTCCAGTTTTGATGTCGCGAAATCCTGAGATGACATTGCAAGCCATTGCTGATAAATTATTCGAGAAGGTTCGTCTGCGCGGAGTCAAATCACTGAAAATATAATTTAACGACCAGGGATAATTATAGATGCCCCATCATCCAGGCAGCTCGTGGAGGTCGTGGCTTGGGAAGCAGACGGTCGAGGTTGACAAATGGAGAAAGAAGGCTTATATAGCCCGCCGTAAGGCAGATCATGATTCAATACCGACTGGATCTCAGTTGGGTCAACCAGAGGATTCGTCGAGTGCGCAAGCTTGTGCCTCTTCGCCTGTATCATCGAGTCTTATTGCATCCCCGGTAGAAAACTCATATGGGGAAGATTTTCAAACTATCACAAATTTTCTGGCAGGTGGTGGCGCAGATGACCGAACGGATGAAGAGGTTTGGGAGGTTTTGGCTCAGCAGGCAGGTCTAATATATCATGTTGGACATCTAATTTCACAGTTAGCTGATCATTATATAGGCTCCCTCACGGTCTGCAAGAGAGTGGCAAAACTTTTGGAACGAGCATGGCTCTGACATCAATGCGGTAGTGCAGAAATTGATGAAGCCTTCGAACGCACCTTGTTCATCTGAAGAGCCATACTCTGAAAAGGAGCCCGAATGATACTACTTCCATGAGGCTACGCGGTAGTAACAATTCCTGCACTATCGCGTTGTGGTTGTAGTGGAGTACCTTCTAACATAGACCACCAGAATGTCAGACAGGTCCGAGCAGCAACACTCGCATCTTTCATAGTTCTGCAATGTTCCTTTCTCAACTGAGAAAAATATGCGGCATCTCTAATGGCGTGATTTGGTGATAGTCTACAGTAGCGTGCCTCTAGTCTGAGACGGATGAATGAGCTGGGAATGTTGGGGGTGGATGCTTGAAGAAACGTTTGCGTCTTTCCTCTTGCGTCTCAGGTGTACCCCGCAAGCTCTTCCCCCCATAATCGAACGTACCCATTGCCGCACCCATCACAGCACATGAAGCCACCGCCATTGGCAAAGAACGTGCTAGAATTGCAAAGCTTGTTTATTGAGCGTTACGGGATGATAACCCAAACGCACCTCGAATGCCGGCCAGGAACCCAGCCGCACAGGCACCCGCGGCACCGTTCACAGCGTCGTCCTTTTCTCTCGAGTTGGCGACCGCCGCCTCAGTCAGCGCGAATGTTGCGCCCATCGCAGCTACGTGAAGCACGACAGTTGAGTCCCGAGGCCACCCGAAGTGGTGAGAGACGATGACGCACCAAAAATGCCAATGGTTCCTCCGGTCCTCGTTATGAATCCTGCTGCACCGCTACTGTGCGACCCGAGCGCATTTTGAACTGCGCTGACGAGGGCACCGACGCCAGCAGCCTGCAGACCAACAACAGACGCGTATTCAAGCGATGGTTTGGGGCTGTACGATCCCTGGTCGGCAGGAGTGCCATTGGAGGCTAGCGCATCGCTCTCTGCCATTGCGATGGAGAGGCAAGTATGAGAGACAAAGTTGAGCTGTAACTGTAAGTCGGACAACGTTGGTGCTCTTTCGAGGAATATAGGCGCTCAAGCGCTCCCGATCTATACTTGCGACCTATCCCACCATCACCGTGGGCCTTAGTGCCCGCGCGCACATTTTGATTACTTCCTCAGACTTCTACCTGTTGTTTTGGTTCGGTAATATTCCTACAATGAGTAATGACGTGCAATCTCAACCCGAGGACCTCGCCGAACCTTGGTACAGGGCTACGATAGCACCTCGCCCATTTAGCCTCGCGAAATCACTAATCGTCTGTGCTCGCTCTTGTCCCCTCCGTTTTTGCACTCTTGTCTCAGACTTGTGGCTAGTCTAATGACCCCAATGCCCCTCCATTCCATTGCGCCACTATTTTCCCTTGGACATCTGACTCGATGTCCACGCTGTGGGATGGTGGCATGAAGGACGAGAACATTCTGTCGCATTGGAATACAGTGGTTAATCAGTGTTCTGGATGTATTGCGGTCGGGTCCACCGGAAGAATGTACATATTTCCTAAGTTTGTTACGGTCAAGCCCTTTTGTCTTCGATTGGATGATGTATGGCTCGACCTTTGAATCTGGTCAATTGCTGAATACTAACGGTATGTTTCTGCCATGACAGGTCTCATGGGAAGTCAGGTGTATTGTGTGGGCACTGAATCCTCCAGCTACCCCTCTAGTGATTTTTTCGGCATCCAATCTCATATTCATTCTGGATGGGGAAACTCGCAGGTTAATCGGTAGGCTCCGTGGACATGGCGGTGTAAGTGATAGCTTGTCTCGTTGCCCTCTTACATCCTCAATCTACGGATAGCCTATCACATCTATAGCTGTTCACCCTTTTCATCCTTATCTGTTCTGCACCACGGCAAGGGACTTCACTACTCGTGTGTACGACCTGACCCTGTCTCCCGTACAAGTACCCAACAACCTCCATTGGCCTCCCAACCAATACCCTAGCTTGGCCGGAGCTGCACATGGTTTGCATATGTCAGAGCCTGAGGGTGAAGGTATAGGTCGATGTATCGCTGTGCTAGTTGGAGGGCGATCTGGTGGCCACCGGGGTGCAGTCTTCAAGGCCGTACGCCGAGTCGTTCTCCGAGCACTCCCACGTACCAATTAAATCTGCAGGTATTTCACCCGTCGGCCCCACTTATTGCTACTTGTGGTGTAAGCGAAGCATTTTGATTCTTTCATGAGTAGTCTACAATGATCCTCCAGATGGATCGCGCAGTGAAAATCTGGCGGATACCACCATACATACCGGAGAGGATACATAGAGAAGACAAACCACTGTTCAGCACTGACATGATTCACAAGGCACGCGTCTTATCAATAGCGTGGTATGTATATCTTGTTCAGTGTGAATAATTGTTGACTGGATCAGGTTGAGCGATGATATACTGATTTCGCACTGCGCTCCTGCGCTCATGCGTCGTAACTGCAGCCCTAAACGTGAGGTCATCTACGAAGAGAATGGAACCAGTACGTGTTCTTTGGGGAGACGCATGAGATATTTATCAATCGCCTGCAGTTGTAGTATGGCAATGGTTGGGTTTCAATCGGTATTTGCCTCCTGGAAAAACAATGCAGAAACTGATGAGGGGTTGCGCAAGCGTGAGTCCGATTAGATCATAAGACCATAATGGTGTGTCTGAGGCCATTGCGGTCTTTAGGATTATCGTAATAGCGGTGTGTGCAGTTTAACACTGCAAAATTATACATCGTGTTAAAAGTTATTTATCTCCAAGAATCTTTTAAAGTCCTATCTGCCTACAATCTTCCGACCGATACGCCTAATGTCGCTATATACACGTCGGTCGACCACGATCCGCTTGCGTTCATTCCGATGGGAAAGTTCATCCGAATTGTCAACATAACGCGCTTTCAGCCACGTAGGCCTCCAGGTTTTCCTGTAGACGATGAAGTAGTGAAGCTCGCCCGACGGATGCATCTAGACGACAATCCTGTAGAGCAACTTCGAACGGACGAGCCTCAAGGCGATCGTGGACTCCAAGACGAAGAGGAAGCTGACAATGAGCAACTTCACCCTGAATCGGCGGAAGAAGAAGCATATGGTGATGGGGAAAATGAAGAGTCGCCCAGTCCGCAGCCTTCCATCCTTTTGACGAATCTGTTTGATTCCGTCTCAGGATGGGATATCGACCTAGCAGCTATCCCAGAGTCGAAGCGCGCGGAGTTTCCGAAGATAGGACTCTGCGAGGTAGCACCTAGCGGAAATCTTGTGCTAGGTGTGGGCGCGAAGAGTACATTGTACATCTGGCGATTGTCGGGCTAAATGTGTCCTATGTGTCTTGTAATATCTTTCGAGCCCTCGCAAGCAGTATAGAGGACATGTATGAAAGATATTCCGTTAGATATTCCGTTGTTCAGTACGCAGCCACGTGTTGGCGCTACAACCTAGCTGGTGATATCGACATTGCGGCAAGTCGATAATCGGTCCCAAAATCATGCATCTCACTGTTCATCTCATCTCCCAAATGTATTGACCAAACGAGCGAGCTAAAGTAGCGAACGAAGTAAAAAAAAAAAGTGCCGCGATCGGCAGTAATTCAAGTAGCTGTGATCGAGGTAATCCAACACAAACAACTTTCAACTGAGTTCCACCTTCCTCCTCTGCCACCACTGCACATGATCTGAAAGGCAGTTAGATTCGCCGAGTGAAAGTGAAATAGGGACATACATATGCCTATAGCCCCTAATTGTGGAACGCTTCAATGACGCCTGACGGTGCCATGGCAGGACTGGCCGCCGGGAACGTATTGACGTCGAGATCAGCACGTTTGCCATATCCAACCGGCGCTGGTGTGATGATAGGGGTAGCAACCAGGATTGCATCGATATCGGCATTACCACGCTTGTTATGAAACGGCTCAATGACACCACTAGGTGCCATGGCAGCACTTTGGGCAGGGAAAGTGTTGATATCAAGGTTCTGTCGTTTGCCGTTGTGGAAGGCCTGAATAACCCCGGAGGGCGCCATGGCAGGACTCGCCTCGGGGAAGGTATTGATGTCGAGGTCTGCTCTTTTGCCATTGTGGAAGGCCTGGATGACGCCTGATGGCGCCATAGCGGGACTCGCTTCGGGGAAGGTATTGATGTCAAGGGTAGGAGTTGTCCGCTTGCCATTATGGAATGCCTGTATTACACCGGACGGGACCATGGCGGGACTTGCCTCAGGGAAGGTATTGATGTCCAGTCGCTTGACTACAAGCGCATCGACGGGGTCCATACGACCCACAAGGGAGCGCTAGTGAATGCCGATCAATTTATACACAACCAGCTGCTGGGCAACACTCACCTGCAACGGCATCGGCATCGGTGCTGCCGCAACTTGACCAGCAAAGATGAATGCGAGGGCAGCCAAAATAAACTTGCTAAACTGGAACATCATGGTGAAGAACGCGAGCTTGGGAAGTATGTGCTGTTCGAAACGACGACACGAATGGGCACGAAATCCGGTTCAACCGTTCGAAATCTCAAGGGAACGTCCTGCGACCGAGCGCGGATATAAACGAAACTGCAAGAAACATGTCAGCAGCAAACATGCAGATTATGACAAAAACACTGACAAGAAAGAGGGAGGAAGAGAAGTAAGGACAAGGGGCCATGGTGGCGGGGCTTTATGGCAATTGAGAGATGGTTACCTGGCAGGCAGCCGCAGGGGCATCAGAAAGTTGTAGGACGTCGTTAAGCTTCGCTCCAGCGTAGAAACGCTCGAGCCAATCATGCCGCCGCGTACGCCAAATATGGCAATCAGCCCGATTTCTGCATACACTCGCCCTCATTGGCTGCCTCCTGCTCTCATGTCTGACCCTCGCTTTGCCCGTTTCAAAACTGACCCTCGCTTCCGTCGCGTCAAAAAGGAGCAATCCAAGGTCACCGTCGACGAACGTTTCAAGGGCTTGTTTGAGCAGCAGAAAAAGAAGGGAAAAAAGGGAAAAGGTGAGACCCAAGAAGCTTTCGTAGTCGAACGGTTTCCTTGACGCCACCTCTTCCTCAGGACAAGTCGACAAGTTTGGCAGGCCTCTCGCAGATACACACGAGCAGGATGATCTCCGTCGATTTTACCGGCTGGAAGATGACCAAGATGTACCCGAGCCCGAACCCAGTGCCGCTCCGGACTATGCTCGTGGTGCAGTTTTGCTGGAATCGTCGGATGAGGGAGACGATCAAGATAACGAGGATCCCCAGGATAACGACAGCGATGCTGATGGAATCATTACCCTAGGACGTGACGTCTCTAAGCCGATACTCGTGCTACCAGAGGAAGAAGCGGAGATTGATCTTGACGAGGACACATTCGCAGAACTGGATGCACAGGCTGCCGCATATGCAAGAGAAAACCCGATAGAACCCTCGCCAAGTGTACCGGATGCTCAACGTACGCGTAGGCTTGCGGTAGTCAATCTCGACTGGGATCATGTGCGCGCCATACATCTATATAAAATATTTTCTTCCCTCGTATCCCCGACAGGAACCACTGCAATTTCTTCCTCCAATGTTATAGCATCAGCGAGAAAAATTAAACTGGGCGGTGCTACGGCACAAGTCGTACGTGGTCAAGTGCTGAGTGTTCGTGTGTATCCAAGCGAGTTCGGGAAGAAGCGTATGGCTCGAGAGGACAAGGAGGGTCCTCCACCTGAATTGTTTAGGAACAAAGGCGAGATTGAAGATGAAGAAGAAATCAATGAGCGTACCATCTTTGACGTCGGAGAAGGCGAAGACTACGATGAAGACATGCTGAGAAAGTATCAGCTTGAGCGTCTGAGGTATGCCCTCTTGCCGACTAATGCATGTATAATTCGTAACTTTTTCGAGCATTTAGATATTACTATGCTATCGTAGAGTGCGACAGTGTGGAGGCAGCGTCACACATCTACTCAGAACTTGAGGGGACGGAGCTAGAGCGCTCCGCCAATGTGTTTGATCTAAGTTTTGTGCCTGAGGACATGTCTTTTGACGATGAATGTCGGTATGTGAGTTTCTATATTTGACAATACGATTTTAATACCGTGCCAGAGATGAAGCTACAGGTGATCTCAGCGTCCCATACAAAGCTCTCGACTTCAGGACAGATGTGAGTTCTCACGAGCTCTGACTCTTATTATATGCTGTCTGACTCATTGCCGGGTATTTCACAGGCCCTTCGTCACTCAAAGGTCAAGTTGACCTGGGACGAAGAAGATCCGGAACGCGCGCAGGTCACACGACGATCGCTTTCACGCAAGGAGATTGAAGAGAATGATTTCAGAGCCTACATTGCTTCATCTTCCGAGGATGAAATACAGCCAGCGCAAGACAAAGGTGCAAGTCACAGTTCAGCGTCACGAGATAAGCTGCGCGCCCTCCTTCTGAGCGGAGGCGATGATCTTCCGGAAGGATGGGGGACCGGCAAAAGCGACGAGGACGGTGTCGACATGGAGATCACCTTCACGCCGGGACTCAGTGCTGCTAACGATGATCGTGATGAGACTACGTTAGAGAAATACCAACGAAAGATGAGAGAGAAAAAGAAGAAGCGGAAGGACGACCTGAAGAAGGACACAGCGGAGGCGGATCCAAAAGCAAGCTCACAAGATGAATTCTTTGTTGCTGGAAGCGAAGACGATGGGACGGGTACACGCCAGAATCACGACAAGGCGAAACTCGGTAAGCATAAGAAGGAAAAATCTGAAAAAGATAAGGCGGATGAATCGAAGACTCGACCCTTGGCTACTTCCGAGGAACTTGCTTTCGTCGCATCGAACACAACTACTAGTGAACCAGTACATTTCAACATGAAAGCCGTGCTCAAGGCAGAGAAGAAGTTAAAATTGAAGAAAGGGAAGAAGAAATCCGTCGATGACGAAAACGAACTTCAACAGGATTTTAGTATAGATGTCAAGGATGAACGATTCAAAGCAGTTCACGAAGACCATGCATTCGCCATCGATCCTAGCAATCCTCAGTACGTTGTTGTTGATGCGTACAGTATTCCTGACATTCATGTATGACAGTTACAAGAAGACGAAAAGCATGTCGGCGCTGCTGGAAGAACGAACACGACGCCAGAAGGATAAGCGTTCTAAACCTCCAGGAGCATCCGCGATAGATAGCGGGGATCACGCATCCAACGAGTTGCAAGGTCTAGTTGAACGTATCAAACGAAAAAGCACAGCACTTGAGCAGGCGGGGTCTGGAAAGAGACGGAAAATCTAGTTTTCGCTTCTGTTCAGTAGCCTTTTCGAACATGCTGCTTCCACTGTGTTAAGGAAGTGGACACGACACTGGTACATGGCGGCACATCGATGTTGACAAAATTATAAATCTTACAGAATCTTTACAGTCTCACATTCATATAATGTTGCCCGTCATTCATGAGATTTTGGCGTTCGAGAAGTCAAGCTCCGGATGTGCTTCCTGGAACTTCCTGAGAGTCTAAAAACCAGAAACCAGTGAGGTCGGTCCATCACAAATCGTTCACTCCTACTCACTTCCATTTTCTTGATCTCATCTGACGTTGGCTTGCCCATTTGCTGGCGCATAGCCCTATTGGTATCTTCGCAAATAGTTTAGCATGGAACGGACACACCTTTTGTTGATTGTCAAACTGAAACCCGGTGTTAGCACGATGATCGAGGGGAATAAATGGGGTCATGGGCTTACCATCATCTTCTCCACCATTCCTCTATAGCGAATGTAAGGATCCATGTCTATGCCAATCGCGCACACTCACCTGGTCTCCCCGTCGAGATCGCTGAGTTTGCTGTTTTCAGGTTGGATTTTTGTTGTGTCGATCTTGGGATGATGGGTGAGGACGTTCTCCCACCACTGCTGTTTGTTGAGCTTCTCGAGATGAATATGGACCTCCTCCTGGTCCTCTAGATGCAAAAATTAGAAAGCGAAAAAGAGAGCGATCGATCAACTATAGACGCACCAATTGTCCAGGTACTCTCCTCGACCTTTATCTCCTTCGACAGTTCTCCCCCCATGATGGGTTCCTTACCCTTGAGCCCGACACTTAATTTCTTCTTTTGAATGATCACAGTAAGATCTTTTCCACGAGTACCCTTGGGCACAGGCACAACCACATCGACTTCACCCAACTCCTGCCTCCAGATGTACGGCAATGCTGGGTGGCGGTCAACAGAGACTACACTACCTACGCGGTACGGGAAGCGCACCGGCTTGCTCCGCTGCTTCACGAGCGCGATCAGCCATGTCTCGGGCTTCGCGTTCCTCCTTGGTTAGTTTGTCGTAGTCCTCTCCTTCGATAGACATATTGTGGTGGATAGACTGGATATAAGACTGAGCCAAGTGGTATCCCGCGCTCCCGAGCTGCCTCAGAATCAGATCGCGATGCTGGGTGCACGTGATTGAACACCGCTCAAGTTCTCACGCTCATAGCCAGTAGAGAGCAGCGGCAGAGTCGGTTGAGACGGGCGAGCTCTCGCAGAGTTCTCTGTGCTCTGCAACATTTCTTCTCTTGCACTCTAAGGCGTCTGCTTGCCGTTGTTGCATCTCAATGTCCAATGCAAATGCGTGGAGTGAATTTGATGTAGGTCTATCTCCGATCCCGTGCGCGATCTCGCGTGAACAACTCTAACAGGTTTTCCTCTCCTCCTAGACCTTGCGACATTCGGTCAAACTCAACACAGTCGACCGACTGAAGCAAATCCTTACCGGATTCAATGACGAGTGCGGGACGAACCTCACCAAATCCGGCAAGAAACAGGAGCTAATTGACCGCATTACACGAGAGATGGACAATTGGAGGGCAACTAATAACATTGACAAATGGAACAAGGGAAAGCTCATCGTATCCCAGGTGCGAAACGGCGGAGTGTAAGTTTGATCACTTGCTGTTCATTGCGGTATTTTTGTTTCTTCCGCTCGTACAAATAGGCGATTTGAGCGCTTAGTTGTGGCTGGCACTGAGTTCATATGTCGCCGCAGATATAGCCCAGCAAGAAGCAATGCCGATTATTCTTACTCGTCCTCTTCATCACACAATGCGTACTCTTCGTCTGTTTCTGGGAGCCACGGATATCAAGCTGGCGCGTCTAGTAGCTCAGGTGCTATCCCTCGATATGACCCATATGCACCTCCCCGAAGACCAGCTGCGCCGTCCGCGCCGGCACCAGCAGTCCCTCAAGCGCCTAGTGAGTCCTTAATGAACGATAAGTGTACAACATCTCTTCAATCATGCCACTTCATTCCTAGGCATCCGGTTCAAATCATCCCCCTTCTTTCATATTGAAAGAGCTGTCTCTGGCGTGGTAGAGTGCCCAGGTAAGTGTATTGAAACATATCAAGCGCGCCTTTTATCCCTGACCTACTTGTCTTCAGAATCGACGAGTTCCATGGATCGCAGACAGCAGTCACTTGTGTTTGCTATGAACAACGACATATTATCGAAGATAAATTCCACCAGGTATGATAGCTGTGCGAAGCTATCATTGTAAGTTTTGGTCACTTACTGTCCAGGACCAGTCAAAAGTTTCAACTGCGTTTGTACTGCACATCGTCGACCTACTACACCCCTTCGGGTGGATTCCGGAGCACGTCTGGACTCTGTCCAATTGAATTCCCCCCTACTTGCGAAGTCAGAGTGAATGGCGTGGCTTTGACTGCCAACTTGAAGGGCATGAAGAAGAAGCCTGGCACGGCACCTCCACCGGACCTCGGCAAATCCCTGCGGCTGACCACTGGTGCCTCGAATCGAATAGAAATGGTCTACGTAAATAGTCAACAGCCCGTGCAATCGAAGGTATGTGAATCATTTGTGTATTTTCGTTGCCGTCTAACTCGCAGACCTACAGAAATTCTACCTCGTGGTCATGCTGGTTGAGGTAACAACAGTAGACCAGCTGATAGATCGTCTGAAGAAAGGTAAATTTAGGAGCAGTCAGGATATTCTCAATAAGAGTACGTTTCACACATAGTAATTCATTTGTGTCTCTGATTATGGTCAATTTAGTGACTCAGGCAGTATCCGGAGATGACGACATTGTCGCAGGACACCAGAAGATGTCTCTTAAATGTCCCGTAGGCTGTCTTCGTGCATTTGCTTAGTATCCTAAGCTGATCTGATTGCGATAGTTGAGCTATATGCGGATTAGCACCCCATGTCGTTCTTCACATTGTGTGCATTCACAATGTTTCGACGCCCTATCCTGGTTTTCTTTGATGGAGCAAACCACGACGTGGCTGTGTCCAGTCTGTGAGAAGGTTCTCAATGTGGAGGATTTGATCGTCGATGGGTATGCTGCTCGTCAGTTGCGGCTTGTCATTCAACTAATGATTTATGTAGATATTTCACTGAGATACTTCAGCAGACGTCGGAAGAGGTAGAAGATGTTATTGTCGAGGCGGATGGGCAATGGCATACTGAAGATAACAAGTTTGGAACGGCAGCGTGGAGGGCGGCGCATCCTCCTTCGAAGCCAGTGATACCCGCGCAACATGCTCCTGTCGCCAAACCACGAACTCCTTCACCTCGAAAACCGACACCATATCGCGTGAATGGCGAAGGCAAGCCACGACCGAGCAATGAAGAAATCGTAATATTAGATTCGGACGACGAAGACGAGGGTCGAGTAAAAAGGGAGTTATCACCGTCAACGGATAGTCCTGTTCGAGCGGGGGCATCCATGTCCCAGTCCATAACATCTCAGCCCTCGAGGAGCCGGACGCAAGATACGGACGTAATTGACCTGACACTAGATTCAGAGGACGAAGAGGCGGTCCCACTGACAAGAAAAAGGAAAACATATGCGACCGACATCCCGTCGCCAACGGAGCAGATCTGGAAGAAATCGCGGACAGATGGGATGTCGTCGTCCCCTGCGTCGAGCAGCGCCAACGCTGGATATTCTGGCGGGCCACGGTACGCGGCGTCTTCGTCGCGATCACTCACGAATGGACACCCGCCTGTGCATGCATCTCCCTCGGACCCTCGGTATCCGTTCAGCTCGGGCACGCAGCCGTACCCGGGGGGCTATTACCCTCCCGTAGCGCCAACTGGGCGGAGGCCTTCAACCAATTCGTATCCCAGGGTGAATGGATCGTCGCCTGAGAGCTGGCGCTCGTAGCGCGCGGGTGATGTGCATGGATGTGAATTGGTGTTGTAGTGTTGAGAATACGCTATCGTTCTGATTTATTGAAACTAGTATACAAATATCCGTAATGGGAGCCGGTAGATGGAGTAGAGTTCTCGGTAGCGGATCCGACAACGCGGTGCAGTGGTTTGCTGGCATGCGGCTGTGACGTTGCTGTGTGCGATTGGTCCATCAGCAGAGGCAGTGTGTGCTGGCACTCGGCCCGGCTGTCGCGCCCTCGGTCGCCCCCGGGCTCGCGTCCCCCCGGCACCTTCCGAAAACGTACTTGAGCGGTCGCACGCCAGCATTTTTCTTCCAACTCGTCCACCATCCCCACTCAGTCCTCCTCCCCCGGTATCTCTCCGTCAAAATGGCCGAAACGCAGAAGAAGGGCAAGACTCCTCAGGAATTCGCTGGTCAGTCTTTCTCCTGCGACGCGTCGTCCCTTGTCGTGTGCCGTCTTGTCACGAGATAGTGTGCTGACCTGGTGCGTCCTTGTAGTTGATTTCTTGATGGGTGGTGTTGCCGCTGTGAGTGTCTTGTATCTTTCGTTCGCTTGCGTATTCTTATCTTTTCTCCGGGGTCTAGGCTGTCTCCAAGACCAGTGCTGCGCCCATCGAGCGTATCAAGCTCCTTGTTCAGAACCAAGATGAGATGGTAAGCCTTGCGTCATTGTGCTCATTTCGCAGTCGATGACGTGTTTCTGCTATCTAGATCAAGCAGGGTCGTCTGTCCTCACCTTACAAGGGTGTTGTCGACTGTTTCGCCCGCACGTACCGCGATGAGGGTCTCGTATCTCTCTGGAGAGGTAACACTGCCAATGTCATCCGGTACTTCCCCACCCAGGCCCTGAACTTTGCGTTCAGTAAGTGGTGATCGCGCATTTGGTTCGCCTGATTTAAGTTGTTGCGCAGAGGACTACTTCAAGTCATTATTTGGCTTCAAGAAGAACGATGGCTACTGGAAGTGGTTTGCGGGTAACGTTGCATCTGGTGGTGCCGCTGGTGCATCGTCCTTGCTCTTTGTGTATTCCCTCGACTATGCGCGTACTCGTTTAGCCAATGATGCGAAGTCTGCCAAGGGTGGAGGAGCGCGTCAGTTCAACGGCTTGGTCGATGTCTACAAAAAGACCCTTGCATCTGATGGTATTGCGGGTCTCTACCGTGGATTCGTTCCGTCGGTCGTTGGTATCATTGTGTACCGCGGTCTTTACTTTGGTGTCTATGACTCCGTCAGTAAGTATTGTCTGTCTTTTGATGCGTCGCTGTGTTAACGGTGATTGCAGAGCCTGTTGTACTCGTTGGCGCTCTTGAGGGTTCCTTCTTGGCTTCGTTCATGCTTGGTTGGGGTGTTACCATTGGTGCTGGTCTTGCTTCGTACCCTCTCGACACTATCCGGTGTGTACTGTCTGCGATTTTCTTTCACGCGATAGCTCACTGACGTTGCTTGCAGTCGTCGTATGATGATGACGTCCGGTTCCACTACCCACTACAAGTCCATGTTTGATGCTGGCTCTCAGATTGTCGCCAAGGAGGGTACCAAGTCGTTGTTCAAGGGTGCTGGTGCCAACATCCTCCGTGGTGTTGCTGGCGCTGGTGTGTTGTCGCTGTACGACAAGCTCCAGCAGGTCATGTTTGGCAAAGTCTACTCTGGTGGTGAGTCTAATTTTGCGAATCTTTTATTTGGCCTTTTTGAGAGCGCTTTACAGGATCTGGCTAAACGACTTGGCTTTGCATATGGACATCATACTGAGTTACTTAGTATTATCACTTATTCGGCACGTACGGCTATACACATTAGATTCCCGGTTATATTTGACATTGGTCTTGAACAAATTGTGCATTGAGCTGGGCCACTGTCGCAAAAATCGACCTAAGTTGGTGTGAATAGGGAAGCGTCTAAAGTCATGACCAGCATGAGGGCTATTTCCCACGCTTGGAGCTAATTGGAAGCGCATGTCGGTGGTGCTGGTACTTTGATGGTTCCATGCCATGGTTTCTTCATAACGCTGCCAGAGGGCTTAGACTGTACAGTACCGTCATTCCTCAGGTGGTCTTGCGCCCATACCAGGAGTCTTGTCTTGCGGCTTGTCTTGATGCTTTGAAGTCTGGATCGAGTCGCATTGGTGTCTCGCTGCCTACAGGCTCCGGCAAGACAACCGTGTTTCTGTCTCTCCTTTCTCGCATTCTTCCTCCAGCGAAGAATCCTAGCGCCAGACGGTCGTTGATCGTGGTGAACAGTGTAGAACTTGCCAGACAGGCCGCAGCTCAGGCAGAGAAGCTCTTTCCTACTTGGAGTATTGAGATCGAACAGGGTGCTAAATATCATGCATCTGGATTGGCGGATATGTACGTTTGCCACTCATCTGCCCCTACCACCGCTCTAAATGTAGTATGTATTTTGTATGTCATATCTGTAGCACCGTTGCAACGTACCAAACGTTGCTGCGGCCACAGCGGTTGGCTAAATTCGACCCCCATACCCTCAAGGCCGTCATCATAGACGAGGCGCATCATGCTGCTGCTCCCTCGTATGTGACGGTGACCCTATTTTGACTGTCCGAAAAATGACTTTTGTAGATACCGTCGGATACTATCCCACTTTGATGCAGCAATACGTAGCCCTGACTCAACATTTGACCCTCCTGCTCTGCCCCATTCTATTCCAATACTCGGCTTCTCAGCAACATTTAGTCGACACGATGGGCTTGCGCTCGGTTCTGTATTTGAGCGCATCGTATATCACCGCGACTTTCTGGAAATGATCAAAGAACAATGGTAACCACATCTTTTTGAGTGTGGAACCCGAGTTTTACTGTTTTTGAAGGTTGTGCAACGTTCGCTTCACCTCCGTCCAAGCCAACATTGATCTCAGCGAGGTGACCGTGAACGCTCGCACTGGTGATTTCAATCCTACCAGTCTAGCACATGTCATCAATACCGACACCGTCAACAGACTCGTCGTTCAAACGTGGCTAGACAAGGCGGGCACGCGCAAATCGACCCTCGTATTTTGCGTGAATCTCGCTCATGTGCGGGAGCTGACGAATGCATTCCGGGATGCTGGAATGGACGCGCGGTATGTCTACTCAGGCACACCCGTGGCTGAGCGGAAGATCCTCGTAGAATCGTTTAGGGCGGGACAGTTTCCTATTCTTGTGAACTGTGGTTAGTTCTCATCCATCAACGTTGTGATTGCCATTCCTAAAGATGAACTTGGTAGCTGTCCTGACGGAAGGCACGGATATACCAAACATTGACTGTGTGCTTGTGGCGAGACCTACCCGCTCGCGTAACATATTTGCTCAGATGGTGAGTCTGGTAACCCCATTTACACCCACTACTTCATACGATGCTTTAGATTGGTCGCGGGATGAGACTTTCACCATCAACAGGCAAAGAGGACTGTCAAATAATTGATTTTGTAGATTCCACGAATCGAGTGCCCGGTGTCATCTCAACTCCCACATTATTCGGGCTTGATCCGTCCGAACTGATCGACGGTATGTCGAGATCGCTCAACGCTTGGGGCTGTATGCATTCTAATATCGCTTGCGATGAATGAAGGTGACACTACACAGTCGCTGGAGCAGCGCGCCCTGAAGCTCCTAGGTGACGATGGCGGCAAGCCCAAACGGTCCGACAGCAAGAGTGTAATCCCGGACCCAAAGTCGGTGACTTACGTGGACTATGACAACCCATTCGCCCTGGTTGACGACGCTGGTGGCGCGCCCCATGTGCGAAAGCTGAGCAGCAATGCTTGGGTTGGATGCGGCGACGACGTATATATTCTTGAGTGTATGGGCAAGGGTTATATACGCATCGAACCCGTCAAGGCAGATGAAGGCAAGTCAGCGTCTCTATCAGTGAGCAAACAACGCTTATGAGTTTCAGAGACGGAAGCTCATTTTAGAGCTCATTTCACTCCTGCCAACTTGTCCATGGTCACCGCTTTTACTCTGAAGCTCTCTCCTTATCAGCGAAGCCGGCAGATCCTCACTGCGCCTACGCTTGTGGAGGCGATCCGAGGTGCTGACACTTACGCAGTCTCGAAAATTGTCAAGGGATCATTAGTCATGGGGTAGGTCATTTCTGCTGAATTTTACTTGAGTATGTCGGCAACGATGCCCGATGTGCAGTCTTCTCCGCTCCGCTCACTGGCGAAGGGAGCCCGCCACGGAAAGCCAAAAGAAATGGATCGAGAAACGGCGGACAGGTCGTCGCTCAACCAGTACTTCTGAGAAACTGCATACCCAGGGGCGCGATGCGTCGGGAAAGATAAATACACTCACAAAGGGAGAAGCAGCAAACATTATCACTCGACTTAAGCACGGTGCCCAGGTAAGATGCTGGTCTATGTCGGCCGATTGACTTCGATGCTAAAGCAATCCAAGGCTCGTTACAAGAGGAAAATCAAGGAAGAGCTGAAGAAAGCAGAAAATCTGGCCAAGGAAATGAGGAGGAGAGTAAGGGAAGAAGTACAAGTTGGACCTCTATCCATATTAGAATAGTGCTCATAATTCAAATCTGTGACAATGTTACCGCCTCGCTGGCTTCTCATGCAAGGATGACAGGAGCGGTGAGACCGCGTACTGGCTTTGTAATGTCAATACAGCAGCTTTCTGCGCATGGGAAATGACGTTCTCCAACGACACCGGGTCCTCAAAGCCAGTTGGGGTATGCAAAAGCGAGGACAGTATAGATCCAACCAGGGAGTCGCCCGCACCGGTTACGTTGACGATGTTTTCTTTCGGGATCGGTAGAGCCGGGAAATGCTTGAGAACGGTGGCCCCTACGCTAGACTTGCCACGACAAACGATGTATCGTCCGCGCACATTACTATGCTCCTGGAGCCAGGGTGATGATTGGCCATGTTCACTGGACACACGGAAGGCTGCAATGACGCCGCGCTCGCCGCACTTGATGATGAGGTGCTGGAAGAAGGGCAGGAGGTGAATAGCCATCTGCGCGATTCCCTTCTCAACGAGGAACGATAAGGTTCCCTTCGACGAGTCCTGGTCGTCAACGTTCACCCTTGCGAGTTGATCGAGACCCATGCGAAATTGGGAGCCAATCGCCATATCGTCGACAATATCCCACCAATGACGATGTGCTGTAAGCTCCAGGGGGCCTGACCTTGCTTCTTCATACATTCGTGCCAGTTCAAGTAGGTTGGGTGCTGCAAATGACACAGGAGCGTCAGACGAGCGCAGTCGGGGGAGGGCTGCGGCGATAGCAGGGAATATTCTGATCGACTTGGGTACTGATGTTGGTTCACTGATTGTCCAAGTTAGTATACCACAGACTTTTGGCAGATCATAATGCGCACTAGAATACTATATCCAACATCAGTGGATGAGTACCAACTGTGGTAATGTCATTTGGGAAATAGGTCGCACATACCGGTAGTCTTATTGTCAATGCAATAATTCAATAGCGACTTGAGAGTCTCTTGAGAGAGATTACCGTCCAAGGCGACGACACGAGGATGATGTCCCCGAAGGGCGCTGAGTGCCTGTAAATAAATCATAGTCTTAAGTTATCCTCAGAAGGAGGCACTTGAACACGCACTGTATTTCCTTCTAAAGTGTGGACAATACCCATATCAGCCACCCCACCTGTGAGGCCCCCGTGACCATCCATAACCATGTTGCAAATCGCAGACCTCGCTGCGTCCATTTGAATAAAACCGTCCGTGCGCATACCAATACGTCTAGTTTCATCCACGAGCAAGCGGCCAAAAGAGTCCCTCCCGATCGGAGAAACGAGCAGTGCGGTACCGAGTTCGGCCGTTGGTCGAGATGACAGAATGCGATGCGCAGCTTCTGCTACATTACGGGCCACACCGCCCAAGGAAAGGGATACAGTGCCTGGCATTGTTGAATGTACTCCAATACTTGAATCAGTAGCACTGGAAGCTTGTGCAGTGATATCAACAGCAGCAGATCCGAAGACAACAAGATCTGCAGAGGGCTAGAGTACCATGAGTGGGGTAAAATGTGGAGTAAGAGGTATATCATGCACCAAGATGGACGGATGCGACGGCTGGGTGGACACACTTGGTGCTTGAATATCAACCGAGGGTGAGGATGAAGTAACCTAGACATGTATTGGCCATCAGTAAAGCGTCCGAGGTTTGGCTCCATTGCTTGCCGTTTGGACCAGTGGTAGGCTGTCATTCCCCTGCGCTAAGTTCGCAAGCGCTACCGCAATTTGGCCTCCTATGAAATGAGAGGAAATGAGCGACAGTTACTTATTTCATCGGGCGACTTGCCAATGAGCGCCGTGTTCTCGATGAGCGCGACATCTGACAATCAACGTCATACGTGAAAAGGTGACTGTAAAGTGAACATACTGCTTGTCAGTGATATCCCTGCTGTCAGTTCCCCCACACGCTTCAATAGCCAAGGGGTGGCCTCTTTGCCCATCTTGCTTACGCCGTTCTCTTCGGCCTCTTGCACCGCTTGTTCAACGGCTTCCTGGAGCATTTCCCCGGTAGATTCATATTCGACTGGAATGGGTACACCAAAGAGCACACCGTTCGCCATACCGAGCTGTTGCTGGTGATCTAGACAAATTCCTCGAACACATATAATAGTAGAACTGGTTATATGTCACCTACAGAGAATCCTGGCGGCAGTGATTGGATCATTAACTTTCCAGGGGCTCTGCAGTAGGGTCCGTTTACGCGCCGACGAATTTTATAGGTCTATGTCTCGCACCTGAAAGCCACTCTTTCTGCTATAGAATGCCGGGAAATCTTTTGTTTTGCCATACGAAACAACAGGTACACCCAATGTTTCCTAGCGAGATGCATACAGGGTAGCCATTGAAGATCTTATTTATGCACTTACGAGATACTCTAGTGTTCTGTATGCGCGAATATGTGAGGGATATAGTCTGAAAGTAGGACCATCTTACCGGCCGATATCCAAGATAGATTTGACCCCAGCTGAGACCAACCCCACAGGACAGCGTGTTAGTTCGTGGAGATCAGCAGACACATCCATTGCTAGCAAACATATGCTATTTTGAATACATGTTGTCTGAAAGCTCAACAGTAAATGCACCTACTCGTCTCTCCGCCTCGATGTACGCCTCCTAGACTGCATCAGTATACACAGTCCGACATCAGAAAGCCTCGGCATCAAAAAGGAAGAATGCTAACCCTCCCGTCGCAAAGACCTGACATAACCATCGAGTACAAATACATATTTCTAAATACGATATCTCTTACCTTGATACCCGCGAGAGCGGCAAAAATGAGTGTTGCGCTACACGTCGTGCCCTAGTCAAAAGTAAGTTTGCCTTGGATATATTCAATTTGCTGCAGGGAAATGGTGCATACACCATGTCGTCCTAGCGCAATTGCAGGACCGATGTCACGACGTGATACCTTCTCCGCCGTATTTGTCGCGACGTCGGCGAGAAATTCGAGCTCATGAGGCTCCAGGCCAATTTTGACACGGCCACCGATGATGCCTATTGTCGCAGGAACGGCACCAGTGCGTCGGACAATGTTTTCTACGGACTTTGCCGTCTTGAGATTGACAGGATAAGGCATTCCATGGGTCACAATCGTCGTCTCTAGAGCAACGACTGGTTGTTGGGTTCCAAGAGCCTCAGCGATCTCTGGATGCACATCGACAACTCCACGGTCGCGCAAGGCCTGGTGTAGAGACGAGGAATTCCTCTTGAGGCCACGGAAGGGGCGAGGACTGCGACACCAGGTAGAAGTGAGAGTATCTCGGCGCATGCTCCTCAACTGTGGCAGTGTCTGCAGGAGACCACAAGAGCTGCTCGGCACGACAAGCTTTCAGAAGAGAGGCTGAAAGTCGCGCAGTCTATTGAAGAGAAAAGAGCAGAGTCAGAACGTAGAAACGCGATCGCTCCCTCTCGAGAGCTCACGCGACGGGGCCTCGGCATATCCTCCTGGATCTCAGATCCAACCAAAATCATTAGTGTTTGGCCTTTAAGTATATCCGCGCGATTTTGGTACCATCCGGATCCGGATGGCCTCGAACGACCCAATTGTCACCGTCCGGCATGAGCGATCTGATTCTATGCTCTCTTCAAAATCACCAAAAATCGCCAAAACAAAACCCGCGCAAAGCCACTTGCGCTTATGTACAGCTAGTGCGCACACAGCACTGTATCCAGAACCTTTCACAAATGATCTCACAATTCACTTTTGTCTGTTTCCATCCTATCCGATGGCTACGTCTTCATTGCTCCATGATTACACTTCCTAGTCCTTGAATTTTGGAGTTTTCTCCAAGAAGCCAAATCGAATCTCAAGAAAGCCTGCCATATGGAATGTCTTGCTCGGCAGGTCCCAAAGCTCCTGCCAATTATTTGCTTAGATGCCAGTTATGTGAGCATCTTACGGACAGTCACGGAGAGCTCTGTGCCATACAGACTCACCAATGAGCATGAAAAATAGGATGCGCCGTTGATATATATCGACATATTTTGCTCCTCATTCGGGATGTGTCCCGCAGCGTCAACGTTCAGCTAAGAGGAGCTATTGTACTCAAAGGTAACTGATAGAAGCACATGTCATGACGAGATGCAATGCTTAGCTAGGACCAGCCCTCTTCGCAGTGATTGATGCTCTGGTCGATACCACCGCGTGAGTGACTATCCTGCTCGCTCTTCTGCTATCTCCAGACTGGTCTCTATTTGAACCTCGCCGACATTCCCCAAAAGTCCCTCCTTTTCACGCGCGCCCCTTTTGCTGGCAGACGGACACCCCATGACTTTTAAACACCCCATGCACAGCAATTTTGTGATCCCAACCTAGCGATGTATCTCGCAATGCGGGATTTGTACGATTCAAGCATCCAAACCTTCGATCTCTGGCGAGCTATTCGTGAGCTCGCTTACTCGGATTCGCGTAAGATACCTCGCCAGCGGAATGAACGAGTATCACCACGCGGTTAGATGGACATTCCCTCCCCATACGCTGCCATTTTCCAGCCGCCACCGTTAAATCACGCATCTCACTCTTGTTTCACCCCGATTCCCCGTCTTTGAAACTTCCTGGTTCAACAGGTGTACATGTTGAAGTCGTTTTCGCGACTTTCGCTCGCGGGTTGTTCAAAGGTATGGGATTATGAATCTTAGAAGAGGACCCAGAGCGGTTTTGATTAACATTCAATTTTGGTGCGTTACACGTCCTGTTCAAATCGCATGACAGTTTTGATAGCATCTGAAGGCCTGAAGAACAGTCACAGGTTGTTTTTCACAATAGCGCACACAGGAAGAACGATAGCCGAGTTGTGGCAGCTTAGGCTTCGTGCGTGCTCACCCTTGATGTACCGGATGGACTGGGACTCTGTGCCGATTATGTGTCACAATTTTCAACATCACAATGAAGCCCCGGAAATATCCCGTTTGTCCCGACCTCGCCTTACGATCTGGTTGGTCTTAAAGAATCGCAAGTACGCACGGCTTGGTCACTCTTGCGAGTGTGCAGGCCGGATTGCGGTTTCATACAGCTATCTCAATTTCACAATGGCAAACTATGATAATGATAATTCAGCTATCATGATCGTCACTCGAATATGGATATCGGTTTCTTGATAAAGTGGAGTATTTGGGAAACTGACTTTAGAGGCCTCTTCTCGAGGTATGTGTAGTTTCAGATCAGATAAGGCTACCGGTTGACGATATCGATACCATGTAATATACTTTGTATGTCCTCGATATAAGGGTCCATTGTCATCATGCCAAGACGTCCTACTTTCATTGCATTGTCGAGATGTCACTGACCATTCTAGATTGCAATCTTGTGCACTGCACGTTTGTCTGCTGCACAGTTTTAGCTCAGCTAGGTCACGTTTAGACTTCAAATCCGTGGGTCCTCCATCTTCGAATGAGTCACAGGGTACTAATCTGGTTCTAGTCTCCCTGAAGCGCGTGTACTTTCTTAGGTCTATGATAAGAACTATTTGAATTGTCCTGAGCTTCGAAGCTTCTTGCAAGGTACATAATACAAGGTGGGTTCCTTCACGCGTCCTTAACCCCGTCTTCCCAGACAGCCAAGATGACCGATGCTAAGCAGCTGGACGCCCTGTTTCCCCTTCCTTCCCTAAGACCTTCTTCTATCTGTCCGGAATGGGTCCCCGGTGTGACATATGAGAGCAAGGTCACCATTTCCAAAGCTCTGAAGAAAAATCATGTACAGCGCCATGCGTTTGTGAACGAGTATGGCTTTCATAAGTACGTGTGCTTGCAATCGAACGTATGCTATGCTGACATTGCGTCAATAGCCACACATCGCACCATTTGCTTGCAGTATTCGCGATGGGTGCACCTGCACCTCTTTTCGAGGAAATTTTCGGAGACCACGCTCAACGCACGCTTCCAACGTTGGAATCTCCAGGCGTGATCACGAAAGATAATTTCTATGACCACATTGGGGACCGACGGTGAGAATGCATAAATCATGGCACTTCGTGTTCGATGACTGATGTGCCAGTCGAACACACACAGGTTCTACGATGCATATCTGCATTACTTCCACGACATCGTTCTAGAGCAAGGCGCGAGTGCTGTCGTGGAAGAATACGTGTTCTCGCGCGCGGCGAATTTCCCAGAGCCCGAGTCCGACAACAACCCAAGGCAAATCATCGTGCGGTCATTGGCGATGTTGTATCATCCAATGATATACCTTGGATACGGCCTGGAGTTCGGGATTCCTGGTCTTGTCGCTGAAGGTGAGACAACATGCCTACTAGTGTAGTTCAGCATGTTGACCAGGAATCATTGAATCTTTACAGGTCTCGCACAATCTGTTGTACATCCACTCCAAGGTCAAGGTTTACTTTCCGTTGCAGACTTTCGAGCCCAGAATGAATATTCTGGCGGTGGAAGTGGCCTGGTTTCTTCATTTGCATCTCTGGTACTGTCTAAAGAACGCAATGGTTTGAACATCAAACATTCCAGTGTACACGTTTTGACTATCCTTGGGCGTATCCTTCGGGATGACCGGTTTTCTTCTTCCTCTCTGAGCCTTAGCCCAAAAGAGCATCCATCTGAAGTGTTGACGCACTACGATCAGGTTGCCAGAGATCTTGGAGACGCAATGAGATCACACATTCAGGGCTGGACCGTCAATGGCAGCGACACCATCGATGTTAAAAATAAGGTCGAAGAGCTATGCTGGATGAACGCCCTCTTGTACGGCGTTGGTGGCTGGGGGGGACGCAATGAGACGCCCGATAGGAAATTCAATGCTGACTTCTTCTTGTGAGTATATTGTTGTCTCTTCACTCGTTTACATGTTTTATTTGACCGTCCTCGGTAAGCATGCATATGGTCACGTCAGCCTTGTTTCTTCCATCGATGGTTACATATCTTTCCGCCTCCTCCATCACTCAACTACTTCGCACGTACCTTATCTCCTCTATCACTTGGTGGGTAGCGCGAGGCCGGCCGGTGCTACCTATTCGTGAATTCTACACTTCCGTCTCAGCCACACCTGTTCCGTATGGCACCACCAAAGTAACGTCAGCTCCCGGCACTCTAACATCTGAGTCCGTGTCGCCAAACCCATGGTTACCGATTTTGCAGACAACAATTGTGCATGCAGATGACCACCTATGCAAACTTCAAAGGGCGTTGGCGCACTTTGCATCGAAATACGGAGATAGGCCCGTAGGTTATTTTTCCGCTTTTGCGGAGATAGATAGTGGCGGCTTGGAGGGCGCAGAGGTACTAGACGGTTCCTTGTTTGTGAGAGCCGCCGGGCTGACGGCGGACAAGCTGGGGTGGATGAGGGAGGGACAGGCACGGGGTGAGTGGAGTTATGGGGCGTTTTATACCCGAGATTGATCGCATATCGGGCTATCATCACTGCGAGAGGCTTCACTAATGAAGTCCATCTCACTGGACTATGTGCTGAGATGAAGAAATACACAATGCAGTTTCCGATATCTACTGCTAGTGTATGTAGCTATGTGTATACTACCGTCCTCCCAGATCCTAAATTATTTTATGCCGCGGGACATTCATTGAATGTCATAGCCAAATGTGCCCGTATGATGGAGGTGTAATCTTGTAAAATACTCAGCTTTCTTGAGAATCACCAACTGCGAGCTATCGCTGGTCCAAGGACGATAAATATAAAAAAATCTCCGTTACGGGGTCCACTATGAATAGCACCAGCATCACACGGCAAGACTCCAATCATGTACAATTCTGAGGGAAATTACCAAGAGAAAGCCGCCACATATCCTAGCCAAGTCAGACCTCAGGAATCAGCCAGTGCAGGTTGCACACCAGAATAGAATGAGCCCTCAAAGCCTGTATATTCGCTATAGATGATTACTAGTGCACATGAACAATCACATTATACCCAAACCGACTCCCCGTACGATCAATCAAGCTCATTGAATAAAGCACGCGCAATCAACTCCCGAAGATGATGGTCCATGTGTTCGGATTGGTGCTCGAAGTCCTCACCGTGATGGTGCTGAAGACCTCCATCATCATCATGCTCGGAGTTTTCATTGTCGTTACCAGCACCTTTAGGTGCCCCAAGTTGCACACCCGGCAACATGCGCCGGGCTAGCGCCAGTTCACCCTCTTCACGAGCGAAGAGATCGAAGTCATACTCGCTGAATGAAATTATTCAGATTCGATGCTTCTAACCAGGCTATAGCCCCACTTACCGTTTTCCACGACCCTTGTTGCTCTCGCCTTGTTTTCCATAACCAGAACCGCCATAGCCACCATAACCCTGGCTACTCTGGCCTTGCTTTCCATAACCAGAACCACCATAACCCTGGCTGCTCTGACCTTGCTGGCCATGAATCGCGGGATTGTACTTTGGCAATCTGACGGGCTGGTTCGCCGGGCTATTGATAGCCTGTTGCGACTTCTTCTGTTCTACGACTACCTTCCTGGCACCCCGGCTAGCACCCTTTTGTGCACCGAGCAGGGCTCCAGAAAACATCCGGCGAGCGAGGGCATCCAAGTCAGTATCGACCCCACGAGCGTACAGGTCATTATAGTAAGGTGTGGGAGCAGCGCTGCAGCATTAGCAACGCTCGTGAGCCATAGCTATTTCAGACGCCAGAAGAGAAAGCCACGAACCTGACCAAGACGGGAGCGGCAGCGGCAGCGGCGGCGACGGCGAGAACGGTGGCACGCATGATGAGATGTGGAGTGAACGTGAGAAATAGGAATGCGGGTAGGGGCAATTAGATCGTCAAGTGTGCGTCGTAAAGAGAAAAAAGCGAAGAAGGAACGTAATAAGTCAAGCTAAAACATGGATTAACAACCACCAAAACTAGGAGAGGCATTGAGTGACTTACTATCCAGTACTTAAACTTAAATGGCCTAGAATTGGCACACAGGTCAACTGAGGGCTGGGAGAAGGACGATGCAAGGGACCAGCATTTTATACAAGCAGAGACGCCCCCAACGGCAATCGAGCATAGACCCCGTACGTCATCATCCAAGAGAGCGCATGAGGATATCAGCAAGCAACATCCTAAAGGATGCGTTTGGCGAGCTCGGGTATCCCAAGCGGTCCAAACTTCTAGCTGTCCGACAAGCCCGGTTGGACGGATATGCACCTGTTCCATTTGGTCCAAGGTTAATTCATTGGACGAAATTATTTTAAGAGTTCATCACATACGTATAATCGTGACAGGACACCGCCAGGTGCGCTAAGACTGAGGCCAACGGCGGCTCCTGCAATTGGCCCGCGCGCGGCCGGGCTGAGCTTCCCAAGAGCAAATAAACGTCCAACTATGTAGCACACACGAAGTCCTTGGGTATGTCGACTTTATGGCTAGCCGTTGACGAGCCTGACGAACCTGACGAAAATCCTATATCAGCAACACTGGAGGCGGAGGTCTTGGTCGTGTCGAGAATTTACCTTGTTAGGCCTGAGTAGGACGATTGTAACCAATGGCAGCCGATAGTGTGGAGCAGCACTGTACCGTCGCATACCATCGCTTAGCCATAACTAAATTACGGATGTGGAATGTCATCCAAGGATCATAAAACACCGAGGCGAGTGGTAGTTTCGGATAATTTCCAGCCGCAAAGTGACAGCGCTGAGGCTTACAATGGCCGTCAGTTCTTCACGATACAAAAATGCAAAAATTCTCAAGAACATATACCTACCGGCGAAGGGCTTCTTCCTCAGGTCAGCGTCCGATGCCGTGGTCGGAACGCCAACGATGCTGCTCAGCACGCTCGCATACATCATGCAATCATCCGCCGCCTAGCGTTCGGCGCGAGGCTCATTTTGACGCCATCGCAGGTGCACAATAACATCCGCTCGAGCTCAGCCCAGTGCCAGTTGCACTGCATCTGGCGTGGTAGACCGAACGTCTCCCCATCGTTCGTTCCCCGCAAAAATTCTTACAGCGGCTGTAAAAAAAATCCACTGCAAAGCGATTTTCACTATGACCGGGTTCGTTGCGCAAGAACAACACGCACCTCAATTAAACAAGCAGCTCGTTCTTTAAATGGTGGCAACTTGAAAAGAGTCCGTGTTGCGCACTGATACCCCTCCGAGTCGACTGCCGTCGCGCCGACTGATTTCGGATCATTGCACGAGAGGAAAGGCCGGCTACAAAGTGACGGAGTCGGCGGAAGTGCAGCGAACCTGCCGCCGAGGGGACCGTCAAGCTCAGGTTTCCCAAAGGGATCGTAAATCTAGCGGGTTGAGACGCCGGCCAAGCCCCGCGGCGGTCTGTGCCAGCGTCAATCTGGCCACGGCGGTATCCCGGGGTCCTTCCACGGGGCCTATCCCGATGTAGGTCTGAGCTCCCAAGCCATGTCGACTTCAACACCCTCAGCCTCTGTCGATGCCTTACTGGACATTCCAGAGGGCATCTGTGTGCTCACACACGCCCCTCTCGCCGTCGAGGACATCATCAAGTCGGTAGAAGACGACCGGGCGGGTGCAACGGCCGTATTCATCGGCACCACTCGAAACTCCTTCAAAGGTAATCATCCATTCTACGATCGCAACACGAACGCACGAACCCTCACACCCACCCTCAAAAGGGAAAGTTGTAAGACGACTAGATTACCAGGCGTACAGCAAGTTGGCCATCAAGACAATAGCAGATATCGTCCGCGCCGCACACGCGACCCATGCGCGCTCCGCACACCACCCAGAACACGACAAGGTCACTTCCCTCATACGTTCCGTCGTGTATCATCGACTAGGCACCGTGCCCGTCGGAGAACCATCCATCGTCATCGCCGTGTCCTCTCCACATCGCAAAGAAGCGTTCACGGCTTGTGAATATATTCTGGAGGAGGTCAAGCTCAAGGCGCAGATCTGGAAGCGCGAGTTTTACGAAGGGGAGCGCGAAGAAGAGGCAGAGTGGAAGGCCAACATCAGCGCGTAACACAAGCGTGTATTACTGGTGGCTTAGATTGCACTGTATCCGTACTCGTGAAGGAGACATAAATCAGTGGTCGTAGCGTAGTCGTGTCCCGAAAGTCATTGTAGAAATGTCAATCAACTTTCCATTTCTTTGTAAGACTGTCATCATCGTCACTGCTAACAAGCAGCTCTATGGACCAAATCACCAAAGTTATGAAGATATTCATCCATCGCCACCAGACCTGGGAGGAGTGGTCAAGCACTAAAACATGTCAGTGTTGGCCATAAAAACCGATGTTGCAAACTCACAAAGCAAATGAGAATAGACAGTCACAAAAATGGCTTGGCGATAGGTCAACATAAGACCCGTTAACTTCGACGTCTAAGCAAAAGTGAGAAAAAAGGCCATGTTGCCACACATACACTTACGGGACGGTCATCCCAACCACCATCGACACTGGTTTCTCCTTCCCAGCTATCCGCACCTATGGTCGGAAGTATATGTGAAGCGAAATGCAACACAAGCAATCGGTACAGCAGCGCGATCAGAACGGGCTTAGGGAGCGTATTCGTCACAAAGTTAACCAGTGTCTGCAGATGCGGCATGATGTTAGATAGAAGCGGTGCACTAGAATCCTGCGTGAGCGACAACATCAACACAATTTTGGGGATACTTACTAGGAAGACCCGGGGTCTGAGAAAGACTTCTGATCAAAGCCGCACTGCCAGACATTATAGGCTACAAATAATGCCAATCCAGATGACTCAATGACGTTCGTTCGGCGCAAGACGAATCCAATCAAAGTCAAGAAAATCAATGTGGTTAATGCGACTCCCAGCAAGGTGGAAGACAGCGGCGAAGTAGCTGCCGCTGGATATGTCTAAAGAAGTTCCTTGTTAATCACCGCGCCATTGAGCTACAAAAGTACTCACCACAACAATCCACCATGCGGAAGTTACATATGCTGCGGCCGCTGCAACAAGCAACCCAAACTGATAGCTCTCTCCTTCACCGACCAGTTCCCTCCCTACTTGGCCGAGCTTCTGTACGATTAACAAACTCGACAGGCCCTCCATCACAATAAACCCTGGAGTAGACCAGTGCAAGAGCTTGCCCCACCATGACGCGGTTGTGAGGAGCAGAGGGTGTACATTTTGCGAGAAGACGTTGAAGCAGACGAGCAACAAGAAAGGGTGCATAGGCACCTGCAAGACAGAAAGTGCAGGAGAACCCCAGAAGAGCACGAGTGTCCCATGAATCAGAGAGTGGATGACGAGAAGAAGAGAAAGTAGCAGGAATGCAGGCGTCGAGAGCGTCGAGAGTGTAAGCGGTAAGAATATGAGAATCTGCAAGACCGTAGAAAGCCTAGCAGAGGAATGTCAGAACGGGACGGATGCTTGCTGAAGTGAGCCACTACTAACCTTGCAGTACTAGATATTGCGCTCCATAGTAAGCGAAGTCCCATTACCGCCGTTCAAGTGTTCAGACGTGTCGAAGTCCAGCTCCAGGGTGTCGGCGACAATGCCCAACCCCTTAGGCAAGACATCCTCCAATGTCATGGTCCCAACACGAGTCTAGTTGAAGCCACAAGCCACGTGCACGAGACCAATATCTCGGTACTCGGAATCCAGTGGGTGCGTGGGTGCATAGTACAGGCTAGTGCAAGCTAGTACAGGCGTAAGGCATAAAAATAAGTACAAAAATCGACAGACACAAAAATACGGTGCCTAAAGGTATAGACAACTCATTAAACTGCAAGAGCCGAGAAATTCTCCGCAACGTCGACATCCGCTGCCCTATGGGAGACCTCTCGTCGCGGGCTCAAGAAGCCCTTCGACGCTGCAAACTCTGTTCCACGGTTCAGTGCAGCAGGGTCAGATGGTGGCACATAGTATTTGTCGACGATGGGAAATTGGAGTAGGTTCATCTTGGGAGTAATTACGACCATATGGTTTGTCTTGATTTCCATCCAATCCGCTGGAAGAGCTCGTTAAGTGGCTGACGCGATGAAGACGAATTTGCAACAGACCTTTCTCAAAAGTTAGCGGCTCGCTGGCAATCTAAATCCAAGTCAGCACGGCGCTCGAGGATCTGGGCGAACCTGTACTCGCCATGATGATATTCTCCCTCTTGTCCATCTTCGACATCTTGTAATGACCACCTTCAGCATACTCACTGAAGGTTGTCCCTGAAGAGAACCACTATATCGCCGGCCAGTTTCATCACACGTAAATTCACAAAACAGTCTAATACGTACGAGAGACGCTGCTTCTTCATGGCGAGACGAAATGTACCTGGTTGCAACAACGCTCTCTCCATCTGTAACGCAAAAATTAAGGAGACTAGGCTGAAAGCATATGTAAGTCAGCCTCGTGGACCCCCGAGCTACAAGGATTGAACACCTCTGTAATTCCCTCAGCTTCGGTCATGGCGGTAATATGAGCAATCGTCGCCATCATTGCTCGGCGCAAAGTTTCAGCCGTGAATGAATTTGCATGAGCATCCGGGAGCTATGCAAGTTATCAGGTCATTGGTACGACCAGATAGGACTCCAAAGACATGCCTTAGATAAGAATAAGGCGAAAGCCCATTGCGAATCTACCGAGAACATATCAGCATATCAAGACCACGATAGGCGAAGGATTGAGTGGCTTGCCTGTGTTGCCGCTAACCGTGTTGAACAACTCATCTGACAGCTGAGACTGGAGTTGTCTCTTAATCTTAGGGAATTCTGCAATTCCGCCGTTGTGCATAAACTGGCGCGGGACATCAACACGTACTTGATGTGGATATTGGGTACGGAAGCATACCATTAGTTTTCCGAATGACCAAGGATGGCAGTTATCGAGACTCAGAGAACCTGCCGTAGTTGCCCGCACGTGTGCACTAACAGCTACTGAGATTCAAGGATATGATATTAATTGACTGTTCACTCACAAGACGAGAGGTGACTTGATCTTCTCTGCCAAGCGAGTGAGGTTTACATTATTCCAAGCCTACTGGCCAAATGAGGGTTCAGTGTTCCGATGAGAGTATATAGACGTACCGGAGTAACAGATGTGAATATACAAGGTTGGCCACCAAGTTCCTCGTCATAGACGGAGTCATACCAACCTGAATGCCAGTGTGTACGACCCTCACGAATTATACCCAAGTATAGGCTTACCGACACCGAAACCATCACCATTGATAGGCCTCCGGTGGTCGAGTCTCAGCCGCGAGTCGAACGCTTGATTAATAATTGAATGGCATGGCCGGGTGAGTAAATGTGATAGCTGAACGGGCGATGTCCCCTTGTAAATGACGAAGCGACACATCAGGCCAGATGAGATCCTTAAGTCCTAGTGAGGTGTGGAAGTACTTAAAGGGGGATTCAGAGCGGATGTCGGGAGCGAGCAGTGGTGTCAACATTCTGGCGACATTCGAAGTAGAACTTGTACATAGGCTCCGGCGCTCCAGAGATGGGCAATATGGTGTGCTCGGCAGCGACCGAGCTCACTGACTTAACCCCCATTAGTGATTCGCCTCCAGCAAGTTTTTCTGCTCGTCCGACAATCCCTTGGGTCTCCTTACTCAGGAAGTCGTGTAAAGGATGCGAGCGATGCTATGGATATGTTTTTCTTTTTCGGTTCCCATTTATTATCCGCGAGGGCCTGGCCCTATGTAGACATAATGTACGGTACATGTGCTACGCCTATCCGTACGATGTCTATGGATATGTTGATGCGGATGCAGTCAACGTGCACGAACGAGTCCGTAGTAAAACGGCACAAGCCCTACAAGTACAACGATTTCTTTGTGTTTGTCTTCATATTTAACAACCAGTGTCCGCCTTTAGCTCACAGAAACTCCACCGGACGGCGACCTGGATCCCCACCCGTCTCATCATAGATCAGCCCCGCCACGCGGAAGGCCAATTCTACGGAAAACACATAGAGATGAGGAAAGGCGAGTAATTTATATATGCAGGACTTACCATCGGCCTGGGTTCTGTTCATGGCTTCCGCATATACCCGAACAACGTCTTCCGTTCCACTCGGCCTGACGAAGGAGCGTCCACCCTCATAACGACGGACTAGCTCGTCGATTTTGGCTTGTATACCGGGCGGACTGATCAACCGGCGTTCTGCGTCCTCGGTCCTGAAAATATTCCTGTCGGCAACCACGACTTTGACTAATCGATTCGGCAGATCAACATATGATGAGTCCCATTCTTCTCCACTGTAGGATTTGTGCGACAGAACAACCTCAACGAGAAGCATGTCCGACAGCCCATCGCCGACCGTCTGGTTGATCAATTGCGTGAGGTTGATGATGTGGTTCAGCGCAGTGGACTGAGCTGGAGTAGATGGCTCATAGGAAGAGAGTTTTTCAAGGCTCTCCGGAGAAAATAGAACAGTCCCGTGGCCGTTGGCTTCAAAGTATACCCCAACATCATATTTTTCTGCGGCGTGGTGGAGATGCTTCACACCAGTAGGAACGCATTTGACAGGCAGACGCTAAGGAAATGACATCAGCTGTACTCCAAGACATACACAGATGTGTGAAAACTGACCTCCGATAGATACTTAGTTGAGCCACCGTTAGCGTAGGCCGTTTGCACGATGCCCACTTTGATCTGGTCATCAAGCCCAGCTGCTTTGGTCAGATCGACGATGAATGCGGCCACCAGTGCAGCGATTTTATCTCCGTCGAGCATATGGAACTGGTTGCGACTATCCATGTAGTAATAGATCAGCCGATCGGCGTCTCCGTCAAGGCTGCATCCTCTCTGACCAGCTGTAAGCTGGGAGTTCAACGAAGGGGGGAGCTTCTGGGATGTTTTCACAAAATCTGCACCACAAGAGTTATTTAAAGCGCCAGGCGTGGTTGTGGCCGTATTGACAGGAATCAGCCGGACAGCATCACCAAGATGTTCCGCAAGTTTGTGGGCGACCTGGGCACCAACGCCATTTGCACAATCTATGAGTAAAGGGGGAGGAGCAGGTTTTCCGGCCTTTATGTATTCACAAGCTGTGAGTGGGTCACACTATCAGTTAGGATATGAGAAAAACATACCACAAGTTTTTTGAAAGCAACAGTAAGCTTCCTCAGGTAGCCCTCCTCCGAATCTTCTCCGTATTCATCCTTTGTGCCTTTGGTATTGATTGCCCTCACCAAGTAATGCAGCACGGGTGTTGATGTCACTCCGGCGTCGCGCCCTTCGGCGTCCATAGCATTGATACCATCCTCGATCGCCGAGATCAATGCGGGACCTGACGGCCGAGTGTCTCGAGCATAAACAACCTTCGCAGGTTTTGACAGATCTATCTTGAGTGTTCGGACGAATGTGTCCAAGGCTTCGATGAAGGCATCCGTTGTCGGTGCATTAGCGAGGACAGTGGCATGGACTTCCCATGCAGATTCTAACATTTCCCCGCGGGGATCAACGAGCTTCACACCATTGTCCTATGCATTACGGTTGCTTAGCATCAATCCAGTCAGAAATTTGGTCGAAACCATGCTTACAGGCTCAGGGTTGTGGGATGCAGTGACCATAACTCCGATGGTCTTACCATCCAATTTCTTACTTCGCAGAGCGGCCAATATACCGACTCTGAACATCACCGAATCTAAGATACTTCCGCTATACGAAATGCTTATGAGGTGTGCCATCATTGAGAATTCAGACATGTCCCCTACAGCGTTCTGAATCCGGCAGTGCCATACTGAAAGTGGATATTAGACGGTTTGGGGTGTTGGTCTGAGAGACTCCTAATGCGATCGACTGCCAAAGACATAGTGGACCTTTTTACGAACGGATCACGAAATCAAGTACCCTAGAGGGAAGACGGGTCGAGCGTGGCCAAGATACAAGCTCGTGGTGGCCTGTTCCATTCACGGCGCGTGGCAACAACTTAAGTATGTTACAGCCACTGACGCGAGCACGTGATTCCGGAGAGCGTCCGGACTCGCATTCCGCAAGGTGCCGCCTGCTGCTCCAGTTCACGACTTCACTCATGCCTTCCAAGTCTCCTGCACAGACTTTACTAGAGAAAGCCGACAAGAAGGCGAACTCATCAACAGGATGGTTCTCTTCTTCTTCCACCAAGTACGAAGAGGCAGGCGACCTTTACCAGCAAGCTGCAAATGCCTTTAAGATCGATAAACTGTTCCGAGAGGCCGGAGATGCTCATGCTCGAGAAGCAGAGTGCAGAGAGAAAGGTCAAGAGGCAAATGAAGCCGCAAATGCATGGTGGAATGCAGCCAAGGCATACAAGAGGGGTCATCCCGACCGTGAGTGACCGTCCTACCCAAGCGACGCTAGTACGCTGATACCCCAGTCGCGTAGTTGCCATACAAGCCCTGACGCATACAATAACCCACCTCACACAAGGTGGTCGCTTCCGCCAGGCAGCCGATAGAGAGAAGGAGATCGGACAAATTTATCTGCAGGAGCTTAATGACTTGCGCAAAGCATGCGAAAGTTACGAACGTGCAGGGGAATGGTATGCACAGGAAGATGCGACGGCGTGAGTGATCTTATTTATATGATGATGCTACTTCCCTCATGTCTTCTCATAGTACCGCGAATGCATGTTATAAGGACGCCGCCGACCTCCATGCCGAACTGGAGGAATATCCTCAAGCAATAGCACGCTATGAACAGGTCGCGAACGGGTCACTGTCGTCAGCTCTCACAAAATACAGTGTGAAGGAGTACTGGCTTAGATCTAGCTTGTGTGCACTTGCGATGGGCGTGAGTCCGCAGCTTTAGTTATCCTAATCCAATCTACAACTCCTTTTCGCACAGGATACCGTAACGGCCAAGCGGAATCTCACGAAATACTCTTCCCTTGACACTACATTCAGCTCCACACGAGAGGCTAAATTCGTGAATATTCTCGTCGAAGCGATTGAAGCTGGTGACACCGACACATTCACTGGTGCTGTGTTCGAGTATGATCAGGTCACAAAGCTTGACAATTGGAAGACAAATATTTTGTTGAAGATCAAGAGGAGTATACAGGATGAACCTCTACTGACCTGAGAAGTCACTCCGAGTTATTCAAGGGTTTCGTCGAGGACCTATTATATGCTTAGCTTCTGGCAATGTATCATTACCATGGAAATCCGCCTGTTGCCTGCACCGAGTCTGTGCTAGCCTTATTCCCGCTTCCAGCGTGCATTTGGACTCAGTACCGCAGCTCTGCATGTGACGTATACGTACGTGGTTCGCTTCCAAATTAGGGAATGCGATGAACGGCGGTTGGCCTAGTGAAGTGCCCAGTCTTCACATTACTTGTCTACTTGTAGACGTTGTGAACGGTCGATCTGGCAACTTTGCTATCCTACGCGAAAACACTTCTGTACTGGGTGTAGATGTCCTGGTTGGCATCTTTTGCCCTTGCTATTCTGCATGCTCTCTACTGGCTAGTCGTGACTGTAAAGTCAGCATGCAGAGGTGAATGCTCTCCGCAACCTCTCGATGCCCCACGGAGGCAGACACCCTTGCACCTCGCACTGAACCTTGTAGTACAAGACAATATTGACGACATTGAGGCAATGGAAGCCGTCATGATCGAAAGCGTGGACCGAGCTGCGACGTGGTGTCGCGTCGTGGGGATAAATAGACTCACCATTTACGATCGTCAGGGTATGCCACATTCATTGTCATATGCAACATCGTAGCAAGCCGAGCTTATCTACAGGCGTACTCACCAAGTGTTCATCGGATGTACAAAGTCGCCTCTCACGACGCTTTGGCATTCCGCCGAAGGAGGTCGCCTCAGAATCGGACATTGAGTATCCCCTTACACCGCCACCCTCTGATGATTCCGACTCCAGACCTTTGTCCCCGGATACCAAGGATTGGCATAAAGAGCTCAATGTCATAACTCTCCGATTTGCCGTGGGCGTGAGCACTGAGCGAAAAAAGCCTAGCAAGGCCGCGGTGCGGCGCCGTCGCCTCTCCCGTACGTGTATTTCGATCCGGTAGCTGCATTGCGAACAATTTATGGTGGGTCGTCCAGGACGAGAGACTTTGCCCCCCTCTCTAACATTGCATATCATTAGCCGTCAATCGGGGAAACCCGTCATTTCTTGCCTTGCCAGTGGGATTCTACGACGGCGAGCACATAATTCCTCATACAGTGTGATTGATGATGATACAATGGAGCAACCTTCCGCTTCTGTGGAGGGAGAACTCAGCCAATCTTTAGAAGGTGGACTAAGTCATCAACTCTTGTTGATTGCTATCACTGAGTTTCGATGGTTACAGGCCTAGATGGATTCCCTCCGCCAGATCTCATGCTCGTCCACCATTTATCCTGTCCAGAAAACAATCCACCGCTGGAATTGTACGGGTTCCCTCCATGGCAGACCAGACTTACAGAGCTCTAGTAGGTTTCCCTGAGATTATTTGGATCCTCAGCTGAGTGGTCCGATATCTAGCCGTGACAGACGTACCAACGGCGTAAACCGGTGGCGACGGCCCCTGTCAAACCAGAGCAATTCTGCAGGCCAACCACTGGAGGAAGTTCAGTTTCGACGCGCCTTGGACCAATTTGCGGCTGCTGAAATGAGACTCGGAAAGTGATTGGTCGTTTACCAGAATATTCACCTTGCTGGAATTGGAAGGATGCAGGCCAAAGGTCTCGGACGTGGACGCACATGAACGATTATTACATGTACAGCACCTCGATGTTCTAGAGTCTCCAGCTGCCATTTGTAGCACTGATGTGTGTTGGATTGGACAGCACGACCGACTCAGAGTAGACTAGTAGATGCGTTGTAATGGTTGCAATGATGCAGCGATCTGAGTGCATTGTTCCGTTGCAGTGTAACGGGATCCTGGATGACAGGGACGTATACTAGCGTCGGATTTTGTGCAACTTTTGGCTCGAGGAAGTTGAAAAAGAAGGACACGAAATGATGGTGGAGCACTTCATAAAATGTGTCAAGTTGTCTGTTGTTTTCCGTGATCGCCACCCGCGACAGCGCCTCCCCCCGGCAATTATGAAGTAGCGATCTCCCACAAGTTCCGTTACAGTAACTAGTCGTATGCCACTTGTGCTCACTCAATTTGAAGGCGTAACGAATAAACTGGCATTCAGTATTCCAGAGCCAGGATCGACCAGGTAACTGGCTCGGAGTCAATTCGCTGGCGTCTGACGGCTTTTGTTCGCACTGCTTCCCATGCTATCACGTCAAATTTTGATGAATCATCTAGTAGGAGCCTGGAGGCTGGGTTGTAACTTGTCGCTGACGAGACGCCAACCCGACCGGCGTATAAAACATGAACAGCAGATGGAGATACTCACAGTATCCCCAAGTTTTAAAACATGACCCAGCTCTCTAATGGCCAGTCGTTGTCGTACCGAGGCAGTGATGGGAGTTCGCAGCGCACCCAATCGACCTCGAGTTCTCCTCAACGCTCGGGCACATACCCCCTTCCACATGACTTATCGGTCCCGAAAACCTCGATGAAGAAGAGGATTATCGTATGTTGCGATGGGTACGTAACCGACATTACATTATGTGACTGAGTGCTTTCTCACTGGAATCAGAACCTGGCAGGACGGTGTCATTGTGACTGAACGCTGGAAATATACGAACGTCCTGGTAAGTATGCTACTGATCCGGGCATTTACTGCGCAAGTGAGCGCCTCACACCATCTGTGTTTAGCGTCTTGCTCGAGCCATTAATCATGTCGATGTGAGATGGTACGTTAGACTTGTGTCGACGCTATGTGCGTCTCATCTCACTCTGAATGTATTTAATTATCTAGTGACGTACCAATATCGCAAATAGTTTACTACCAGTCTGGGGTTGGTTCTTCGCTGTGCCTGTATGATGAAGTTGTCGACGGTAAGCTTCCCATTCATGCGCACATATGCTGCCTAGCTAAGACGACTCTCAACCAGGTGCGACCGGTGCGACCCTAGGTATAGTGCCTCGGATTCTCACTATATACTGTGCTGATTCTCAGCCCGTAGGTGAAAAAGTAGAGGAGGCATACGCGTTCATCGCACAGTAAGTGTACATTATATATATTCAACCTACATGAGTCTGTGCTCAGATCCGAGAGTACAGTAATTATCATCCTGGCGACGAAGTAGGGTGCTCTGACCCTTATCCAATTATACTTATTGATCTTTGGATTACAGATCTTTCTGTTTGGCTTCTCTAGGGTAAGTTTACTCGTCTGTAATTTCAGCTCCAGACTGATTATAATTAACAGGGCGCATTTACGGCTCGCACTATAGCGTCGTTCATAGTGCGTTGAGATAGTACGTTCAAAATTAAACCGAGATGATACAACTAGCGTTTACAGGGTGAAATTGGTGTCCTTGATCGGACGCAGATGGACCATTTCGGAGACATATTCATCGCGTTCCAGAAACGTGGGAAGCCGGAAATTGATGCGAAAGGTGTGTGCGTCTTATTTCGAGCATGAGGTCATCTAATCCTGATACCAAAATCAGAGAACGAGCAGCTTGACAAAATCCTCGCTCCGTGGACTGGACATGACGCACCTGGAAAGCGGCGAGCAGACTCGTCTCCTCATAGTTTCTCCATAAAGTAAGAACTTGGAGCGCGTTGTGGTGGGTTCCTGCTTATATGACACGTCCAGATGCGTTGGGGTGTTTGACACTGTTGGATCTGTTGGTTTACCGGAAGAATTGACTCGGCACAAGAATATGAACACACTATTCGGATTCCATGATACCTGTCTTGGGGAGCATATCGAAAGGGCGTACCAGGCGCTAGCTCTGAACGAGATGAGAATGGACTTTGTGAGACAGGCAACCTCATAAAAACTACTGGATCTTAAAAAGTTTCTAGGATTGCGCCAAGTTTGAACAAACGGAACCTGGTCGGCTTAAAGGACAAGTCCTCAAACAAGTGAGTAGCGTTCTCTCATATAAGCTTTTCGTTCTCATCTCATTTGATGCAGTGCTGGTTTACAGGTACGCCTTGGTTTGATTGTCATTGAAAGAACTAAAAGGTGTCATCTATGTTGACAGGCTGTCACTCGGACGTGAGTTTGTGCTTCAATATCACATTGAACTTAACGAACATATCTGTTAGATTGGGGGAGGATATCATAAGCACGACCTGGCGGATATTACACTCATGTGGATGGCGGTGAGTGGAGCGCTGTCTTCACGAGAGTCATCCGGCTTATTATTTTCAAATAGGCGAATATTGGTGACATATTGTCGTTGGATGAGCAATATCTTGCATCATTATCCGATCCCGTGGCACCATGGGGTGAGCAACCACCTCACAAGTAAGATCATTCTGCTATGTGATCTCTGCTCTTGATCTGATGCCCTGATAGTTCTGCTGTTGGTATATTTGACTTCGCCCGCACACACCAACGCGAAGTTCCAACCGCTACGGATAATATTACACACGAGACCATTCACCCGTCTGTACTTCATCAGGATATAATTATCCCCGAGCTTGCACGGAACATCGACGCGAATCCGAAGCTCGTGTGCTCGCTTCTGCCGCTGGAGGAACAGCTCAAAGGTACATGGCGAGTCGCGGGTGCCCATAAACAAAATTCATCTCCGCAAGCTCTTTCGTCACACGAAGTCTGCGGGCTGAACGACTCATCTACAGCTGTTGAACTCGCTGGGAAGCCAACTGGTCGCAAGAATTGGGTTGCTTGTTCTCACGAGGAGACAAGTCTGACCTCTCTTGTGAAGGCTCTGCTGTGAAATGGCCCTCAGAAATCAGTTTCCCTGGGGCGGGTTGTCTCGCATTTCTGGTGTCTGTATCGATATATACTTATCGCAGAACACACGCTGTACTACATCTTCGATTGTACCGCTTTACACTATATACAGAACGATGGGTTGTGGCAGTATGCATAATTATAGCAACTAGTCATCAGGAAAAACGGACTTTGCTCCGAAGCACTCTATAGTGCTTCTCAAGCATGTCCAGTAGTACGTGCGGGCTGGAGATTTCAAATGTTGTATCCGAGTCCTTTCTGTGTGTCGCTTTCAACTGCTGCTATGACGCTCTCTACCTCATATTTTTATTGTGGAAGTACACGGACGCACGTTCCAGCCTGAGAGAGGCTCTCCGTATAAAGGCATACTGACACCACACGTGCTCACACATGTTGATGATCGACTGCCACCGAGCACTAACTAGCGAGGGCCAGGATCCCATGCCACGGCCTACATCTTGACTGCGAACCCTGTGCTCATCTTGCCAGCTTGAGCGCGTTCTGCAATGACTGTCAAGGCGCTGGTCAATTTGTACGAAACGCGGTCCACTCGTGCATCCCCCAGAGCACCGTCAGCTTCCTCAAGCCTGACGAGGGAAGACGCCGAGCCGCATCCCGAGGAGGACTGTTCTCGTCCGCTCCTGCGCGCCACTCCTGGTTCTCCAGATGACTTGTCGCGCGATCGCCGTGGGCTTACCCCTCATCCGTTGCTACGACGCCGAGAGCCGAGCCACAATGAGGAGGCTGATGATGAGTTCGTCTCTCCCATATCTACGCACCTCACAGAGGATCGCGTGAAACATCATCATGAAGGTCTCCCGAACACTTACCAGGCGTCTTCGGACATTGCAGACGAGCTACCAGCAGCCACTGGCCGTTCATATTTCAGAGTCCTGTATAAGACGGACTCGTCTTCGCCATACGAACCGACGTCGCATTCTGACGTACCACCTGTTGAGATGCATGAGCTTCCATGTCGAGATGATGAAGCCACTAGCACCTTTGTATCATCATCTGGGACCACTAGGTCTTTGAGGGCTGGGCGCCAGGCCTTAAACTTCCCATTGGACACTGGCACTCCAACATATTCCTCACATTCCTCGACAACTCTCGTTCCTCTTTTGTTCAAATCTGGAAGTATTCCTGTACCACTATCTACCATCTTCGAACGGGAGGCGGCACCTCTATCTCTCCCTCAATTAGACAAGTATATTGAATCTCTGCCTGCTCATTCTTTTCCCTCTATGAACACTGTGACTGAAGGCGAGATGAAAACCCCAGTTGTGCAAATGTTTCCCCCAATGGACCACTTGGCAACAGCGGGGAAATCGCTTGCTGATTTGGAACACAACTCAACTGTGGCTCCAGGCTGGAGGAATAGGACATCTATCTTCTCCGGACTTACGAGTGTCGCTCTTGCCATTACAGTAAGTTATTGGTAGGCGAATTTTTCTCCCATCTGAACGTTTAAATCCGTGTAGGGGTCAAGCGCGCTAGCTTCATTTTACAGCGTACAAGGTCTCTTTGATACCCTTCAGATATTCGCTCTCATCTTGAACACTCTCAGTGAGCTTTTTTTCGATCATTATTGCTTCATGCTAATGGAACGCTAGCATCACATAGCGGAACATCGGAGGAGCGATGGCGAAAACTTTTCCTAATCACTATGTCAGTACTGCCGCTGTCAATCTGTCGTGATGGAACTGATGCAATTCTAGACCCAATGCCCTAGCACTGAATTTCGCCTCCACGGTGACGGAATCACTCATATTGCTTGTAATCCTAATGGCAGTTTCCGGCTTACTTTTGTGGTGTTTCTATCGCATATCTACTCGATGCTACACAGTTCGTATTCCCGAAGGGTTGCAGAAGGCTGATTACCCTACAAAATCTTGGTTACTCGTTCTTGTTACATTCATTTTGACTATCTTGTATCTTCCGCTCAGTACAATGGCGGTGCATGTTCTTGTCTGGTCTTCGGATCTCTGGGTGGTTCCAAACCCGTACATCAATGCTACCTCTAACCCCCCTCAAGTGCCTCCTTTAGGCCCCGCAAACCAATATCGTGCTCCTCTCGACTTCTGCTGGACAACGACCATGGAAATGAACTCGGTTAATTACGCACCCATAGTAGTCATTCTTGCCATAATATCTTTTGCGGGGGTGAGTGGTTACATGTTGCACTCTACCCACGACCAAAACTCATTGCGAGAATTTGCGATAGCTCACTGTTTGGTTTCCTGTTCATTTGTATCGGTCAATTCAGAGGGTTGTCCCGATGGTTGACCCCTACACTGAATTGGGTGTTCCTCGCAGCAAGAGCGACATGGATCGCGAATATCAACGGCTCTTGAACCGCGATCGCAACCCATTATCGTTTCTATATAATGGTGAGTGCATTGTGCACGAGGAGCGACCCAATATTTATATACGATCCAGGATTTCGCCGAGGTTGGGGAAGTTATGAATCCATGTTTCTCTTCGCGAAATTAACGACTTTACTCGTCACTGCCATTGTCGACCCCTACAACTGCCTGTTCCGTTCGCTCTCGCAGTCGGCTGTAGCCATTTCTCGGCAAGCTGTGCTGTTGGTAGCAATGCTGATCTTTTTTATTCTACAATGCATCTACGCCCCTTTCCTAGATCCAGTGAGCAATGCCTCTGAATGGACATCGCGGATCAATTATGTTCTGACGGCTGCTGTGGCTCTCGGAGTGGCTCTCAATATACCGGGCCAGAATATTCTCAACGGTGTAATCTTATACATGTTAGTGTTATAACTATTCTTGTTAGTGCAGCTCTGAATTATTGTTGAGATACCAGAATCTATATTGCTACCTATGGCTTGTGCATATGTAAGTTTGATCATCACGTATAGCGTGTTCATTACCTTAACGTCATCCCCAGACTTCGCGATTATAAACTTGGATTTCATGCGCCGTTTGGTCAAGCGTACGAGGATTAGTCGTTCTACATGACTTCATATCTAACCTGCATTCAGGTATTGCTCGTCGAATTGATTTCAGTAAGTACAATTTCACTGCCTCTGATAAAATGCTAACATCTACAATAGGTATTGATATATTTTCACCTCGGTGAGGATATCATTCCATGAATCTAATGAGTTCCCTAAAGAGCCTTAGCATTGATTTATCTGCGACTTGTCCGCATACCAAGCGACGGATCTGGCAGGAGTCAATCACTACTTTGTTCTTGACAAACATTGATTGCAAGATACCCAAGAGCCAGGCCATGGATTTCAAGCAATCGCGGGATAATCAGTACCCACCCTACCTTCTGAACTTTGCTGGTTCGCCTGGAGAACGATTAGTTGAGAATTTGAAGGTGGGTTTCTGTGCTTGCCATAGTTATCACTAACTGTGATTGGTTTCGTGCTCAGATCTTCATGGATGTCGGATCTAATGCTTATTACAAGGCCATCGGGCTAGCGTCTGGACCTGATGGTCCTCGTCTCCATCGTCTCGAGGAAATCATACAACACCATTTAATCGGCCCTGATAGTTACTGGGATTCACCCTCTCCTTCATCGACGCCGAACTGTACAGACCACTTTGGGACCTCCTGGTGGATTCCATTTCCACCTACTCTTGTGAGTTACTGCCTACCACTTGACGAGGACAAGCTGTGACTGCGAACCATGCAGATTATGCAATACGATGATGGACATTCTAGCGTGATACAAGACCTATCACAACTCGAATTATATGTCGGGCAGAATACAAACCCACACATCCAGCGTAAACGAGACATTCGTCTGGCTTTAAGGGCTCTCGACGGCCATATCGTGCAGTGGCCGTATGACCACATACAGGTATGCAGCCATCGACGGTAGTTAACATTCCGACTATGTGGCTGACTCATTCAAGCCCGTTGGCAGCCGCGACAAATGGTGTTGCTTTGGACGACGCTATGGCGCGAACACGGTCGTCCATTTTAAGACTTGTACATTTAGCATCAAACGCCGAGGACAGCTCCTGTGGGAAGGTGCTGACTTTGGAAGTGGTTTCGGCGTGGAACTATCCTATACCAAGAACGTGAAAATCGATGGGTCCGCGATTGGTCTGACCGACGACTTTGACCTCACACGGCCACTTGCGCGCTTCCTAGCTATGAATGAGCTGCTCATAACTGATCAGGTCTCCTATATTGAAAGCATCATCCGCAGTTATCGTCATCACTATTGGCGGGAATGCCAGTGGAAGATGGATACGCTCACGTATCAATTCCTCACCGCTGTATACAACCACCCTGCACAAGCAGACCAGACAACCAAGACTGTGCTCAGGATGGAGCATGATCCGCGTGTCAATCAACTTATGACAAGCAATGAGACGATCCTAGCGATTACATACGAGAGATATTCGGCGGTCTCCGCCTCAGAGCTTGGCGCATGGTGGTATATTTTTTGGGTGAGAATCGTGCGTTGGCTTCATGTCCCCGTTGCTGAATTCATGAGCAGGATGACGTTTGGAGGCGCAATTATAATACTATCAGCGCTTTACGAACACACGCAACGGATTTCAACCCCCACTACCCCACCTCAATTGCATACCGGCCACTCCCCCGCGCGGCGCTAGAATCATTCCTGACACAGCGCGGTCTCTTACACAAGATACCTAAATGGACGGATTGCTTCGACGCAGGCTTCTTGAACAAGATGTACTTGCGGATGAATGACATTGTCTTCCATGATACCCAGGGGGTATGTCGGCCAATCCGCTCAAGTGTATGTGCTAACATGACATGTAGGCTAATATACTCCGTCTCGGAGACGATAAGTCAGACTTGGACATGGAAGAGATCGATGCTCAGACTTTGACCCAGCCATCAACGCTTGGAACTGGGGCTGGTACAGACTACGACGATGTCTCTATCAGAGCCCGACCGACATACCGATGGGAGGGCATTTTGGAAGATCCCCTTCGGAAAGACAAGGCCACGCATCGTCCCTTTCTCACGAAGGTGGCGGTTTGGTTCGGAATTACGCCATATTGGCATTCGGGCCCACCATCAAGAGGGCTTGCCTTGGACGTGCGTTTGGAGAATGGACGATATATACTGTCCGACAATGTGGGGGCAGAGGCAACTACATCCCAGGAACAAGAATAAGAGAAGTGTATGTACGTTGATAGCAATACTCGATAGCGATGTTGTACAGTCCTAACTGAAATGTACAAACCGTAAGGGCTACAAACTAGTGTTCTACGGCTTTCGCTGGAGCGGAAAGAAGCTGCTTGAGTTCTTGTGCTGCATTTTCTACAGCCTCTTGGTATGACTGCAGAAAATCGGGGGGCGGAGCGTCGGTGGGCACTCTGTGATCAGCCCGGATGTATTCGACCGGTAGGGTGATGAGGATGGGCTGTTCGACGACGGGCATTTTGAGCCCGCCTTCCAGTATGTCTTTCAATTGAGCGGCGCATTTGGATCCCCCGTGTCCGCCGTAAGTGACAATGAGGACGGGCTTGTCGCGCCACTCCCAGTAGAGATGATCAAAGGAATTCTTAAGCTCTCCCGGGACACCCCAGTTATACTGCGGAGTCAACACGACGACCGCGCTGCAGGAGGATATGAAGGCACTCCATTCCCGGACGGCAGGAGAGGAATATAAGGCAGGGTCGCGAATCATGGCGGGCATACGCACGCCGTCGACAACCGGTCCGAGTGGATGGGGGGATTTGGTAGGGTCGACGAGAACGATGTGGAACGCGTCGTGTGAGTCGCCGCTTGTGTTGGCGTTGAGCTGTTTATCGAGAATTGATGTGAGCCAGGCCGCAAGCCCTCGCGCATTTCCCGAGGTGCGTGCGCTCCCGAGCATTAAGGCGATCGTCTTGTCAGGCATGGCGAGTATTCTACAATGCCCGAGATTTCATTAGCCTGTCTGATGTGATCGAGCGAAGTCATTGAAATTGTACCGGATGTCTACTATCAAGTAAGAAAGTCACAGCCCTGAAAAATCTCTTTGAGCTGAATGGCAATAACTATGGAGTGGAGTGAGGATGTGTAGTGGTTGGAGTCCAAGCGTTGAAGCCGCTGCGGCGCAGGGGATGGGATTTAAATAAGTAGAAAGCTGATCACTCTCTAAGCGCTCGTTGATCCCACTGGATGATCGACGCATTGGGCGGCACCGGATACCGGCATTTCCCGCCCTCGGGTCTGCCTGCTCCGCCATGGCTCGCCGACATGCTCAAAGATCAGACACCCTCCGTGCTCGAGCTATCCCACCACCAGAGAACAAACTCAATCACAGAGGGGGAATTCAGCATGCTCTGCCCTCGGCTTCCACGTCCGATTCCAGTGACGAAGAGGCTCTGACCAACGAGTCCTCCATCGGCTCTGATGAAGACTTCAACGACGAAGACGCACAAGAAGATCTTGATCCTGACGCTCCCCGAGTTTCTCAATACGTGCACGAGGAAGAGCTGGTCGAGGACGAGGACGGAGCGGAGTCAGCAGATGAGGACGAGAGAAGGCCATTCCGTCTGGTAATATTCGTCGTATTTTGAATCAAGTTTTTTTTTGGCTGAGTGTATAAGTCACGAAGATAGCTGCGGAGCAAGATGGTATGCACCTTGCTAGATACCTGAAAGGCGTACTGATTATTGGATAATGCAGAACTTGCTTCTCTGTCGTTTGGGGCTTTGCGAAAAGCACAGCAGGCCTTAGCGCGTGCAACTGCCCTTAGCTCTGAAGACGAAACATCTTCTGATGAGGACGATGACCCCGAACATGAATCAATTATTGATAGGCCTCCCGGGCCGAGTAAGGGCAAAGGCAGGGAAGTGGAGAAATCTCAGGGCTCGAAGACGGAAATCCCCAAACGCAAGAATAAGCATGCGTAGGTGATTTGGATTATATGCCCTTCCTTTATTATTTGACATTGTAATAGACCGACTGAGGTGACGTCGAAAAAGCCTGTACCTCGGAGAAAACTAGGTGCAGAGGTGGCGAAGCCCGTACGTAGATATTATACGCTAAATCGAGCACATTCACCAACTACTTTCCCTACAGGTTTCTCGCGACCCCCGATTTTTATCGTTGGCGGGCGAATGGTCCCCAAGCCAATTTCGAGCGCAGTATGGATTTTTGTCTGAGATGCATACACAGGAGATGAAGACACTAAGAGACAATCTCAAACGTGCGCGCAAGCTGCTTGCCAGCTCTCCTCGAGATCTGCGGGAAGAACGACAGCTGGAAGTGCAGAGGCTGGAGCAGGCTTTGAAGCGGGCTGAAAGCTCGGTGAACAAGGATCGACGCGAGAAAGTCGAGCAGGATGCTCTCGAGAAAGTGACCAAGGAGGAGCGAGAGAAGAGGAAGGCAGGAAAGGGTGCTTGGTATCTGAAGAAAGGTGCGTCCAAATTGATAACCTCTGAAGGCTTGCTGATGGACTGTCACTGGCACAGGGGACAAGAAAGAGTTGTTGTTGCGCGCCAAGTACGATGCGCTTGCGGCAAGCGGGGGGAGGGGTGCGGTGAAGAAGGCTATAGAGAAGAAACAGAAAAAGGTCAACCAGAAAGAAAAGAAGAAACGGCCGTTTGCTCCGGGCTCAGGTGGCTCGGCAGGGCGTCCGCTGAAGCGTCTCGGGGACGGATCTGGTGGTGCTGGTGGTGAACGTTCGAGCAAGCGACAGCGTATCAGCTAGGCTGTTTGATTTGTATACCCTATATCATGATAGTGGCGGTAGATACGACGCTAGTGTTGGCTGTGGTGCTGCATTTGTGCTGCAATGGCGAAAAGGAATGGTCGTGGGACCGTGGAGGGATAGACGCCAGCAGCGGACCGGCGGTCGATGCTGGTCGATGGGCCTGTCACACCGTCGCTTGTGCATGCCAACTTCTCATGCCGCGATCGCCTCAAGTTTGTCTCTCGACTAGCTTCCGCCCTCCACGACTCTCCCATCTCATGGTCCCGGCGCCGTAGGCTTGTCCTGGGGCTGTCTTGCCCCTCATGCAGGCAGCATACATCAACGATGCATCCACGCGTTCGGGATCAAACAGCTCGGACCACACCATGACTGCGAACACTCCTTCCCCATATTTTCTTCCGGATGGTGAACCTATAACACTGGTTCCGGACACACAGGGGCTTGACCAGAGTTCGTTGGAGGACATCGAGGATGAGGATATTTATCGCGGGGAGGACTCTGCCCCACAGCGGCCACCATCGCTCATTTCCCTGGATTCATCTTCGTCCTCGTCTTCATCCTCGTCCTCCTCGTCGGTCTTTGGCGGTCGCCTTGGAGCGCTTTCGGCTGTAGTAGAGCATGCCATCTCAACTTGGGCTCGGGCGTGGGCATCCTCATCAACGCTCTCAGATTCCTCTTCATCCTCGGACCGATCCATCGTCACAGTGGCCAGGTCTCAACCGTCCCGTCGACGCAAGAGACGACACAGTCTCGCGGATATTCATAATCAACGCTCAGAGCGCGAAATAGCAGCTCGTCTTAGAGCCCGAGAGGAGTCACGCTACATTCTCCGTGCCTTCGATCTGTATGTCCCCAGCTCGTTAGACTCCCGCGTCCCTTCGTCAGGGGACCTTACTTCTGGCAAAACCGATCGAGGGTCACCATTCTTACACACAGACTCCCTACCTCTTATTATTACTCAGCTTGGTACTGTCCTCAAGGATGGTGAACGAGCTTGGCGGGCTCGATCTGAGACAGCTGTTCCAGAGCCGATTCAACCCATGCCCTGTCTCCTACACCATGACTACATGATGCCCCAAAACTTTGAGCAGCCCTGCCCGTCCGCGTATCAGGACTCGTGTAAGTTACGGAAGATCAAAAAAGGGAAACGAAGAGCCGCCGTAGCCACACCTGCTACGCGAGTCCAAAAAATACCTCTCGTCGATAACGGTAGGAGTGCCCCCCGGGAAGCCTGGTGGCTTGATGTGGCCTCTCCAACGTGGGGTGACTTGTGTGCTATTGGCAAAGCAAGTCCCCTCTCATTGAACCTGTTTTGCCATACCCTATTGATCGTTGTCCCATTCAGCTCCTGCATTTGCATCCTCTGACATTGGAGGACATCCTACAACAAGATCCCCGCGAAAAGCTAGAGCTTTTCCCGAAGTTGGGATATTATTTTATTGTCTTTCGCGCTGTCGAGAGCCAGAAGACTCGTGAGCGACTACGTGCGCTTCGTTTGGCGCGACAAGGAGGCGAAACATTAATAGATGAGGGTATTGTTGGAGAAGTGAATGTTTATCTGGTCGTCTTCCGTGAAGGCATCTGTTCGGTGAGTCGGTTTGACTATCCCACAAAGTACATAACCGACACCTTTGCGAGCAGTTTCACTTTGGTGATATAGGAGGTGTGTCCTATGTGCTTCTGGAAATGTATGTGATGTACTCACAAGGTGCATAGAGCACACGGACCGCATTCGTAATAAAATTAGCAAACTATCAGAAAGTATTAATATGACATCTGGTACGCCTTCCGACCCCACTGGGTTGCATTCGCGTTCTCACTGTGTTTTAGACTGGATCGCGCATGGCATCATCGATTCAATTGTGGATTCTTTCTTTCCCTTTCTGGAGGAGATAGAGAAGGACGTCGTCGACATTGAAACTCTAGTGGTCTCTGACCCCGTTCATTTGAATCGCACGAGCGAACACGCCGAGCCGCGTCCGCTCACACCCGATCCTGCTGCTCTCGAGCAGGTAGTGTCTCATGAACAGACACAAGATTCCGAGAAGTACAGCACACCTACATTACTGGAAAAAATACCCGAACCATCTAAATCTGGACAACACAAGACGCGATTCATGCTTCCTTCGAATTGGGCAATCCACTACCGACGCTCTCGGCGCTTTTTGCGCCAGACGTATGGGCATTTCCGCGTTGTCTTCAAACATACGCCTATAGTCACGACTGCGAGCACAATTCAACGCATGACACGGACCAGGAGACTGGTGACATCTCTCGCCCGGTTTTTGGCTCACAAATCTGAAGTTATCGCCCAGCTGCGGAAGCGGCTGCTAAGCGTAGGCGAGTGGGGGCTTGTATATGGGACAGACCATGATCAGGATGTGTTTATCTACATGGGAGATGTTCAAGGTAGGATTTCCCGTACCTCTTTTTTTTAGTGGGGCTAAAAACGTATCGTGATCAGATCATATTCTGACCTTACAGCAGGCGCTAGCTCATTACGAGCGCGTCCTAAGCCAGTCGCACCCCACCTACTTATCACACCTCCGTCTTTCTGTTGCGAGGGCGCAGTCGGGGACAGATGCTGCTCTTGTCACTTTGTCGACGGTCAGTCTGGGCGTGGTGTGTATCCAGACGTTAATTGGTGCGTGCTGTCGTCCGAGAATTTTGTTGCTCGATATCTTATGAATCACAATTCAGGTTTATTTTCCATGAACGTCGCTGTGCCTAAAAATTCTTATCAGAGTGACCAATATTGGTGGTTTGCAATTATCATCGCGCTTTCCATTGCTATCACTGTTGTCTATGGCATCTTCGTCCGATATTGGTGGATTCAAGCCAAGGCCAAGAAGCGGTCCAAGAATCTATGATTATTTCCTGATACCTATGGCCCGAACTGTAGAGTCATGATGTTTTGAGCTGGCTCAATAACTTCACAAATATAATTACATATATACTTCCCACTGGGTATGTTCTGAAGTCGAGAACTGTTACTACAAAATCGATCCCAATTGATTCCAATATTAACCACAACGCGCTTGATGTAAAACCTTTTTCGTATTTTCAATCTAGACACTCATGAAACCCCTTTCGGACAATGGATGAGAGCGGGCCTATGCATCATGATCCTCGCGCTTCTTATCACACATGCTAACAACATGTTTAGTTTCTTCGAGTACGGACAGCACTAGTGATGTGTCAGTGTTTCGTGCTCGAACTGCAGTGACGGGAAGACCCACCCTTTTCGCGGAACTGAGTCTCCTTCTTTTCGAGCTGGTCAATGGTGAAAAGCAGCTTGTTCTCGTGCTTGCGAACGTCCTCCTCGTCGCGATGGAGCTTGTCCATCTCCTGGCGGATCCGCTCCGACGCCTCGGAGACATTCTGGCACAAGAGGCGCATGGCTTTGACCTCCGCGTGGTATCCGGTCCGCAGCTCCTCGAGCTCGTGGCCTAGCGTCATCAGCCATGATCAGTGTGCGCTCACGGGAAGACGCGTCAGTGCTCTGCTCACCCAGGACCTCAGCCTCGTTCGCCGCCTTCATGTACTTGGACATCTGCTCTATCCAGTCCCTGTCCATGGCCCACGCGACGGACTTGGTGACGCTGCCGACGCTCAGCCTGCTGATGCTGTTCGACTTTTTCAGGCTGCTGCGCCGCCGGGGGAGGGGTCGGCGCGCAGTATCGTCTGCGCCAACTTCGGATCCTTCGTGTATGGTGGGCAGGGTCGTACCATTGGGCGGGGACGGAGACGGCTCCGCCATGGGAAGGGGCGCGTCGGAAACGTCCGGCAGCTCCTCCGCGAGCGTCGAGGGCGAGTCTGACACGAAGGGTATGTCCAGTTCGGGGTCGTGTGTGCGGAAGGGTATGGGCAACGGATCTGGAGACTTTGCACTCAGGCGGCCGGCATGCGACTGCGTGCTGACCACGGACGATGCGGACCGCTTGCGGTCGACGGACTTGGAACGCGTCGGCGGGTGGCGGTCTGCTTCACGCACTACACTGGGAATGCGAGTGGTCCCCTTGGAAACCGACGCAGATTGCGCGCGGACGTGCGATTTATGCGCTTGCCTCTGTATTTGCTTCTGGGGTTGGGGGGGAGGAGATGGGTTGAGCAGCGTCGTCGTCTGACTCACCGAGTCCACCCGCCGTATGGGAGCGCGATCTAGGGGCGCGCGCGCGGTGGTCTGTCGGCGCGGGGGAGAAGGACCCCGTCGGTGGACATGGGACCCGCTCTGACTAGGCAGAGGACCGCACTTGCTGCAGCAATAAGACGTGGCCGCCTGCGCACCACCCTTGGTATCGTCAGTAAAATTGGCCCCTTGCGTTCTGAACCACCGCTCCATCTCCTTTACCCTGAAGTCGGGAGGTGCGTGGACGGTGAAAAATGTAGAGCGCGCGGGTTGCTTGCCCGCTGGGGCGGATGCGCGTGCCATTCGTTGGCATTTGCGGATCATGCGGTCTTTGAGATGGCGGATTTCCAGGATACGGTCCCAGGAGGCATTTCTGTCTTTTGCCAGCTCGGCGAGCTCTGCCTTTAGCAGGTGGCTATAGATGAGCGCGGTTCGGGGAGGGAGCAAAACCTACAATGCCGTGGGTTCAATGACAGTGACGAAAACGCGGACGACGAGCATGCATACCCTCAGTTCATTGGGAGTGTCCGTACATTGGAGGTATCGCCATCCGTTCCTAGAGTGACCCTCTAGATTCTCCAGTTGACCTCGAACGGGGCTTGGCTGGAAGTAGTTCAGCGAGCGAGCGGCATCTCTGGAGGTGTTCATTGGAGAGCCTGAGCCCAAAGGGTAGGAGAGGAGGGGCTCGAATCCAGAGACCAAAAAAATCGACGACAGCGATCAAGAGATGTGACTCGGAAGTGATGAGGGCGAAAAGAGATTAGAGCGGGGAAAATGAAGACAATCGGAGTGAGAAAGCGAGTAATAACCGAGCACGGGTGCGATGGGCTCAGCAGTCGCGCATTGGGCAATGGATGGGGCTGTTGGGTACCCAGTAGGCACCAGAGCGGCCAGGCGGTTTCGCTTACATGCAACGTGCAGCGCTGGGTGGGCGTTATCTGTTTACGGCGAACGCGAGGCACTGACAATGAGACGCAAGCTCCGTCCCCGAGACGGCTATCGCCAGCGGGTGGTGGTGGGCCAGTGCAGCTGGCTTCATCGGGTGCATCAAGGCGGGGGAGGGAGAGAAGGGCACATATCGCGTTCATCTGGTCACACTCCCCTGTGGGTCCGCCCGGGTTGTGGAGGATATGTATACTCATAGTATTATGAAGAGACTCGGACCGACAGCTGCACTCTACCAGAGATACGGATACGCTTTATGAAGAGACTCGGCTTGGAGGTGCACGTCTCCCCCACGAGACACACCTGTCGGAGCCGGTCACTGCGCAGCTGGCTGAATGGGCGTGTGCGCTTTGGATTGGGGTGCAGTCTTGTGAGCTGTATCAACGCGGTAGTCTAGTGTTCAGTAAGCATCAATGAGCGTACATCGTAGTGCGACAGCAACAACGACGAGGAGCTCCCCGTGCTCGGCGGCGAGTGACGGTCGGCGATGATCGACACGGATGGCCGAGTCGCTCCCGCGCTCATAGTGCGCTCTTTACCACTCACCACCACGACGCAGCCACCTGCCTTGCAGACTGGCTGCTCCCCCCTTTGCTTTCAATGTCGTCTGCTCTTGCTCACTATGAATCATTCCTCGTCAAGAATGTGTCCACCATCTCCTCCCTCGAGTCCTCCTTGAGGTCCATTACGTGGATTCTGCCCGGCAGGTTCAGGGATGCGGAACTCGCCTCCGAAGCTTGTTAGTCTTTCTGCAGCCCTCTTCTGTTCTCGTCCTTACGACGGACCACTCCAGTGTCCGCTGTGCTCAATGTCACGAGCATGTACCATGACACCCTCCTCGCAAAGTTCATCCAGTCAGACCCAAAGTACAAGTCTCTCATCCCTCCGTCCCCACACACGCGGTACACCCGCGCGTGGTCTGACAAGAACTCGCAGTACAAATGGATTGCGCGCACGTTGCAACTCATCCGCTTCCTCGAGCTTCTTGTCGAGATGGGTTTACGAAGGACAGTCTCTCGTCGCAGTCGCTGGCGAGGTATCGTCCTACTTGAACTTGTCAAGTAGGTGTTCACTTACGTCCATCCCATGTCCTTTTCTGAATTCCATTTGTATGTTTGCAGAGCAGGCTTGCGGCTTTTCCTCTTGCGCGCCACCAAAAGGCCGCTGCTCTCGCCGCCTATCCCTGAGCGCGAGATAGATCCCTCCTCTTTGCCTCCTGAATCCGACACGTCATCCCCTACCCTTGCTCCGTCTTCCCCACCGTCTTCCCTTCCGTCGACCCCAGAACACCTGAAGAACAATCATGTTCCTCTTCCAATCCATCCTTTATTTACGCCACCCCCTCCAACTCAGTCCCCGTTGGCTGTCGAGGATTATTTGCTGCCAAAAGCTTTGACAACTATGTCAGTGAAGACACCTACAATGATTCTCCACCCGCTATCGTCTTCGAAGGAGTGGCTTGCAGAGGTAATATACATCCTACGGCCTCTAATTTACGGTGCGCGCTTCATCGAGTCCTTCTCGCATCCGTCAATATATATATATATATGTTCTTTCGCAGCTATTATGCTGTCTCGAGATCGCAAGAGCAATCGACCTCTCATGACAGCACTCGCGTTGGAGTTTATCTCACGCAACTTCAGACGCGTGCCTCCACGATCAGCATCTCTAGAACGCTCGGAATACGCGCTGAGAGATAGGGACATTCTTTGGTACCTTTTGAGGGGATCTATCTGGCAGTCGTGGACACGGTACGTTCTGATCTAATTGCTGACAACTGAGATCTTACGCTAGCTGTATAGGCCGAAGCTGGAAGCGATCGCGCAGGCGACTAGTAACGCCCCATTAATAGGTCTCTTCAGTGCATTCGTGAAGGATTGGATACCGTTGATCGATGAATATTATTATTGTACGTCACTGCGATAATATTACTTCCCATATCTTCTCTAACATCCGCTTGCAGATACGGCTCCTTAAGCTCTGCTACTATTCGAGTGTTTTGTGCGGTTGCGCGATTCTTATTTTAACTGATGATGTACCTGTCGTTGTGCACAACGATGACAGCGTCGGACAGTGTGCGGGTCTACAGTCAACATTGCTGTATTCTATCATTCATGCATCACTCACGGGGTGCTAAGTTTTTCATATATCTGAGTGATTGGCGGCTTTTTGCCTTCTTATCATGATTGCTTCTTGGAGAAAATTCAATATTACAGTATCTTGGGTTCAGTTGGATCATTTCATACATCGTGAGCTCGCACGCCGCCAGCTTGTGATGCTGATGTACCGCACTTCCATCTACTTCTACACGATGCATATGCTGTTCGGGGTTCTGTAGAGTTTGTGTTGAACAAGTTTGTCGACCAATCGGCTACGACCTACTCCATCAGAGCACCTGAGACACAGGTTCTGGTCTATCCATAATCAACATCTCGCTGATAAAGTTTTGCGGTCAGTCTTTTATACCGTTGGTACGTATGCTTCAAGCCCCACTTCAGTTCATAGTGCATACGCTTTCCCTGTCATGGCATCTGCTCAATCAACCGACCGCCTCCCTAGCGCGCGCAGAGTCGTCACTGGCCACGATCAAGATGGCAAGTCTTGCGTCCGACACAAAGATGATCTGGTTTTAAACGTATGTATATGTGCTAATTATCGCATATGTGTGAACTCACTCGGTCCCACAGGAAGGGCCAGGGTTCCCCGGAGTATGGGTCTGTTCAGCGTGGTCTACGAGCTCAGTTCCTACCAACGACAACAATACCGAGTGAGAACCCATAGGCTGGCCGCCCCGTCAGGCTATTGATTGTCCTCGCAGTCTCGAGGGTTTATCTAGGCCGGTTGAGGGAGATTTCGGCATTGTCATGCACAACGGGACAAACCTCATCACCACCGATCTCGCGCCCGGAGCTACAGCAATGATGGTATGTCGGCACCTCGCTGCTTTCACCAACACGATCTGAACGCAGACGGTAGCATCAAACGACATCGCTGGATTACAATATTCTGGGTGAGTGATCAACCTCTATGTCCGCATTGTGCTGGACTCGATGAGCCCGCACGCGCAGTCTCCGGAACGCTGGTGCTGGAGTTGACGGACGGCACCGAAGTGACGTTCAGCACCCCGGGGGACGTGATTGTGCAGCGCGGGACGAATCATGCGTGGAAGAACCCAGGCCCTACCTGGACGCGCTGGGCCTCGGTGCTGGTGTCTGCAAAGCCTGTAGAGGCCGCGCTCTAATATAGTATGGAGGTCCGGCAGACCGAATGAGTGACGGTGTACGAGCCGAAAGGATTAAGTTTAGCACGCAGAGGGTCCATCGTGCCATGCGGTCGTTGTTGTAAATGGGCATGTTTTCTCCGAAAATACTACGAGCATTCACGCAGCATGATGGTCATTTCGCAGCGATACAAAAACAACATCCGGCAGGATAAGCGTGAGACTGATATACTGGAGTCAGTTCTTTTTTGTTTGGATGAGCTGGGTGGGGCGTGGACAGCAAACAAGGAGCCACTTCTTTTGCTTCGTGTAAGATGTCACTGGAGGTTCACGAACAATCCCCCGTCAACCAAGAGAGATGCCCCAGTCACGTATTTGGCGAGGTCGCTAGCAAGAAATACGACCGGGCCAGCGATGTCGTCTGGCGCTGCAAGATACTCAAGTGTCAGGAATCGCAAGCTATCCAAATGCGAAAGACTGACCACCGAGACGGCCCAGAACTGTTCGTTTGATCATGTTTTCTCGCTTGACGGCGTCCGACAGATCTTCCTTGTTTATGTCCGTGGCAATTGTGCCGGGAAGGACCGCATTGGCGCGAATGTTGTACTTCCCAAGGGCGATGGCACAGCTCTGCATGAGGGATAGAATGCCCGCTTTGGTGGGAGTGTAGTGGCTGCGGATTTTGAGCGGGATGAATCAGCCACGAGCGAACAGTAACTTGCCATTGCATTTCACCTCCGACTAAGGCAGAGATAGAGGAAACGCCAATGATTGAACCGCCCTGGGGACTCTGTGATTGCATCTGGTTCGCCACGGCTAGGTGTAACTTACGAAGGTCAGACTGGAGGATACTCTGATGCGGCACAACTGACCCTGCACGACAAAGAAGGATCCGTCCAGATTCACTGAACGAGTGCGTTCCCAGGTCGCATGGGGCATTGTCAGAAATTCTGCGAACGGGCAGATTCCAGCATTGCTGACGAGGACATCTAGGCGCAGCATGAGACGATACACGCGCTGCAGATACTAGAGACCGACCTATCCGTCCGAATGCGGCGACGCCGACTTGGACGATCTACACAAGTTTGTTGTCGATGTGAGACTCGGAGGGCGCTTGCGAAACGGAGCGTACTTTGGACGAGGTGGCGGGATCGGCGATGTCCCCAGCTACGGCGGCAACCTTGGTAGTCGGATAGCGCTCCTCGACCTCCACCTTCAATGTCTGGATCTCTGTCTCTGTCTCACTGTCTCCTAGGTAGTGCAAGACCAACCCTGTCGCCCCGTGTTTCGCACTTTCGACCGCGCAGGCGCGTCCAATCCCCCGAGATGAGCCAGTGATACATACCACCTTGTTCGCTAGCAATCCCGACATGTCGCGCATATACGAGGCCCGCTCTTCGACTTACGACCCATTATCTGGTGTTCTTCATCAAGCTTGTGAATTTGCATATCTCGCACGCGAGAGGCCCGATATTGAGGCAGATGGGGGCAGTATGGGGACTCGGAGAGTTGTACACGGTCCGCATGGTCCGTCTCCGTGTCACAGGGACATCGCTCCCTGTTGGATATGGGACGCTGACTATGTCATATGCGCACTGCAGCATTTGAGGCGTATGGCGGAAAGCCGTCGTACGGGCCTGGAGTCCGGCGAGATGGCGTTCACGCCGATATATAAGTGTGTATGCACCTGATGCACAACTGGGAACTTCATTCTCATTGTCTACAGGTCTAAGCCGGAATGCCTTCTGCCAAGATGTGTGTAGCTCATTCAGCTATTAACACTTTGTGTATTGATTTGCCACTCCGTAGCTACTACGACGCAGATGCCGATCTTGGTCTTCTAGGAGGCAAGACGATCGTTTTCCTCGGGTATGTGATACCTTTGCACGGGAATATCACATGTCTTACGATCACCTTCACAAGGTTTGGGAACCAGGGAGCAGCGCAGGCCCAGAATCTTCGCGATTCAGGCATCCCTAACGAGCAAATCCTCATTGCGAATAGGCCAGATTCATATGCCGAAGACGCAAAATCGAAGGGATTCATTGTTGAGCACGACTTCGTGAAGGCAGCCAAACTCGCAGACGGTGCGACTAGTCTTCCTTTACTCGATGCATGGACTCACGGGGAACTATTCCTCTAGTGGTCTTCATCTTGATACCCGATCAAGTCCAGCCCCGCATATTCAACGAGCAATTTGCTCCCAACCTGAAGGATAACGCCGCGATTGTCGTTGCCAGTGGCTACAACGTCTTCTTCAATCTGCTTACATTCAAATCTACCCAGGATGTAACCATGGTGGCCCCGAGGTGTGTTTTTTCAACTATACCTTCGGTCGTTGCTAACGTCTCGTCTCAGGATGATCGGATCTTCGGTTCGCAGCCTTTATGTCAAGGGCAAAGGTTTCCCATGTTTTGTCTCCGTCGAGCAAGACGGCACGGGTAACGGTCTTGCTCTCGCGTTGTCACTGTCGCGCGCGATTGGTGCCACAAAGGCAGGCGCTATTGCATCGTCTGTTCGTGAGGAGACGGCTATGGACCTCTTCGCAGAGCAAGCCCTCTGGCCAAACATTATCACCCTCTTCAGGTGAGTGGAGCCAGCTTCTTTTGTGCATGCAGTCCTAATTGCCGGCGTGGTTTTAGGGAAGGGTTCAGCGTGCTCAAGGAGGCAGGCTGTTCTGACGAGGCGTTGTGCTACGAGATGTACGTGCGCCGTCCAGAAAGTGCACTGTTTCTTCTCTAAATCCCCGCTAGGTGGATGTCGAAGGAGCCCGCGGAAATTTTTGAACGAGCGGCAGAAGACGGTTTCATTCATCAGGTTGGCTAGAACAGCAAGTAGAAGTTGATGTCGATCTGACCGTTGTTTCAGCTGAAACATCACTCTATCGTGTCACAATATGGCCAATTGAGTGGCGCACTGGCTCTGGACGGAGTAGCAGTACGAGAGCACTTCAAGAACATACTCTACAACCAGGTATGATTTTAGGCCATTTTCTCGAACGGCACTGACGGGAGGTTACGATGAAGGTCTTGAACGGCAAGTTCTGTGGCGAGTTCAGCAAAATAGAAGCCGATCTTGAGAAGGAAGGGGATGCCAATCCGCTGAATCAATTGTACAAGAAATCAGAAGAAACAGAACTTGTGCAGGCGGAGAAGCGCGTTCGAGCTCGTTTGGCGGGTCTTCTGTAGAGGGTTGTATCATTACACGTAGATTTCTGCTTGCAGTACATAGAATTACGGAATTTGTAACTTAACATGAAATTCATGTATCATATTCGCTTCTTGCTTGAACGGACAGCCGTGACAGAGTGACTTGCGTATGAGATGGTGACAGCCTGTGACATGACTGTGACGTCCTTGTTGCGACGCTCAGCCTTGACCGAGCCTTGGCTCTTCCCTTACCACAAAAAACTTCATTCGTTGTATCGGCCAACACTTCGGTGCAATTGTACGGCAATGTCGTCCCCAAACGGCAAAATGGATGTTGACAGAGAGAGGTCGCCTGATAGAAGGTCAAAGTCGTAAGTGCATGGCAGCTCTCTGGATTTTGTGGGCAAGTGTTGACTGGGTTCCTGCACATTGAAAGCTCTCGTAATCACTCGACGGAGACACATCGTACTAGACGCTCTCACCGATCCCGTTCGAGGGACAAGGAAAGGCGTGACAGACGGCGCGACCGCGACGAGCACGAGGACGGACGTCGTAGCCGCGATAAACGTGACAGAGATCGCTCCCGGGAGAGGTACCGAGATCGCGACAGAGACATTGACCGAGACCGAGAGCGGGACAAGGATAGAGAGAGGCGCAGAGACCGCGACGGTGAGCGACACCGCTCCGATAGAGAGCGCGCCGAAAGTCGTCATAGCCATCGCGACCGTGAAGACAGAGATATCAGAGAGCGCCGCCGCAAACGAGTCGATGATGCAGATGAGGGCCTTGAAGGTCGTGATACTGAAGTCAAGAGGAAAAGGCACGACGAGGGCCCAGATGAGTCGTCTCTACCTGCACCGCCACCGTCTGCAGGGCTTCCTCCCCCTCCCCCTCCTTACGATAGCCCTCGTCGTCGTAGGGATCGCTCGCGGGAACCAGACCGCAGATTTGGGGATAGGCCAAGGGCGCGCGACCCGCGCGATGAGTTTGACGACCTTACTCGCTACAGAGACAGGGAGAGAGAGCGCGACCATAAACGCAAAGATCGTGTTCCATCAATACCTCCCGAGGTTCCTAAGAGTCCGTCCATTCGGTAAGTGTTGCGCTCGTGCTAATGGCTCAAGCCATTTTGACGTGTTGTTTTTTTTCGCGCTTATTTAGACGACCTTCGCCCTCGTATGAAGCGCCTTTGGACGATATGTTGAACCCAGATGAGCCGAGGGAAGACGATTCTGAAGCTCGGTCTGTATTTGTTTCGCAGCTTGCTGCCCGACTCACTGCTCGAGATTTGGGATACTTCTTCGAAGACAAGCTCGGCGAAGGAAGCGTTATGGATTCTCGTATTGTGACCGATAGGATCTCAAGGAGATCCAAAGGGTAAGAGTGGTCTTATCAATCAGCCCCATCCATGTTGTGCTCATACGTGCTTGTTAGAATTGGTTACGTCGAATTCCGCTCCGTTGAACTTGTTGACAAGGCACTTGGACTTAGCGGCACTGTTGTGATGGGCCTTCCTATACAGATTCAACACACCGAAGCCGAACGGAACAGATTACATCCGGGAGACGGGTGAGCCAGAAAGCCCATTAAATTTGTTGGGTACTGATACGTGCCAGGAATTTGAACCTCCCACCTGGAGTGAGCGCACCACATGGTGGCATGCAGTGCGTTCTATCCCCATCTCTGTTTCGTATTCTTATCTGTTCTCGTCAGACTTTACGTTGGCTCTTTGCATTTCAACCTTACCGAGTCCGATATCAAGCAGGTCTTTGAACCCTTCGGCGAATTAGAGTTTGTTGATTTGCACAGGGATCCGATGACCGGACGCAGCAAAGGATATGCATTTGTCCAGTACGACTGTCGTTGGATGTTATATCATCTTTATGTGTCTCATGACCCATCTTGCAGGTACAAACGAGCCGAGGATGCAAGGATGGCTTTAGAGCAAATGGAGGGCTTTGAGCTTGCTGGCCGCACTGTGATTGGTTTCCATCTTATGCCCTCTTTCAAGTTATTGACAGACCTTTCAGCTTCGTGTCAACACCGTGCACGAGAAGGGGACAACAAAGTACGCGCAGCAGGATTCCTTGGATGAAGCGGGCGGTAAGAACGAATTAGAAAGCGTCTACGTTGTCACAGCTCATATTTGGATTCTCAGGTGGTAACTTGAATGCAGCTTCTCGACAGGCGCTGATGCAGAAACTAGCCAGGACTGACCAGCCAGCAGTCAAGCTCCCACCTGTGTGAGTGCTACCATATCGTTTCAAATAATACCCAGCTAAATAAATCATAGTACCAAACCGAACATTCCTCAGTCGATGCAATCAAGATCTGTCCTCCTGAAAAATATGTTTAACCCGGAAGAGTAAGTGTACTCATCATTTCCGCTAAAGGTGTGGAAAACTGACTCGGAGCAGGGAAACGGAACGTGACTGGGACAAGGACCTTGCTGAAGATGTAAAGGGCGAATGCGAAGACAAATATGGCAAAGTAGAATTCATCAAGGTGGAACGGGAGTCTCAGGTATGCAACATCTGCTGATTTGATGGCCGGATGCTGAACGATCGTAGGGCGAGATTTACGTGAAGTTCGATTCAATCGAATCAGCTAAGAACGCAATTCAAGGCCTCCATGGTCGTTGGTTCGGGGGCAATCAAGTCTCAGCTGCATTCATCTCAGATGCAATCATGCAGGCTCATCAATGAGCAACTCATTCTTCGAGAAGAGTTTTCGTGATCCGTTACTAAATATTTTCTCTGTGATACAGGGGCGTAAAATCACTTGTATTCTTGTGCTGTCCTTAATTTTAAGTCTTGTGGCGTTTATTCTCAAAAATTATGCTATGCAGATTCCACTTACGCGTTTATGCGTTTTCCTCGAGGCATCTAGGGATACAGGAGTATAGGCAGGTCTATACTAACGTTCTCACGTATCGTTTGCTTCAGTGTCTTTTGACCAACTTTTTATGCTAGAAAATCAATTCTCGACGCGCGAACCTGTGGACCGAATGATTAGATCGTCTGCCTCAGTCTGACCGATATTCCCTTAAGTAGGTTATACCACGAACAAGCCGGAAGACATCGAGTCGAACGTTCTTGAGAACGGGTGATGTGTCCGACAACACTTTCGACGTCAATGGATCAGTCTGCAAAAGTGATCTGATATATTTGGTCTTTAGATATTACGCGGCACAGCGACCGCAATGGCCGGTGCATCAAGTCATTGTATTCATGTTTTAACTTCCAGGATAAAGATCGTAAGAAACTAGGTGATTACTGAAAGTTGTCCAGGTCTCGATATGAGTATCATGGTCGCAATTGTACTGCGTCTCGTATATACCCACTTCAGCACTGGATGCTGGTAGAGGCACGATGGTGCGGCTGGATTGGACTCAGTTCCTTGCGATGCTCCTAACGCGACCTCAGTAGTAATGGCTTTAGCCAGCCGTTATAGGGTTAGCGCAGACGGATGGTGCATGGTTGGTCATCATATGGTTATATGTGGCCTTTGATCGCCCTGCTGTAAGATACAGAAACTGGAACAAATACATCTTCTCTTTAATCCCGAGCTCCAAGCTCCGATTATGAACGATGTTACTCTCAATTATTGGGTCTCAAATGCCTTGCGCAGTGCCAACGCCGCATCCGAAACAAGTTGTCTACCAATCTGCAAGACGCTGACAGATACGAACGTAGAAGAATGAGCCACAGAAATCTCTTGCAAAATGAAGCTGCCTTACCCTAGACGACGCGTGCGCACCCATTCGTTCCTGTACGTCAATACACTCAATAATATTACAAGTGCTGCGAACGCACCATCCATGGCCATGATGGGATGGGGAGCGCCTTTGTAGATCTTGAGCTCCACCTCGATTCCTGCCTGCTTCAGCTTCTCCGCATACACGACACCTTCGTCCCTCAAAATATCCAGTTCGCCGACAGCAATCCAGGCCTTGGGGGCCTTCTTGAAGGTCTCTTCTGGAGCGAATATGGGAGAACTGTCCCACTCTAGTCGATCCTTTTCGTTCGGCAGATAGTAGTTGCGGAACCACAGCATTCTGCCAACCATGAGGCCAATGGTGTTCTGGTTTTCTGCCCACGATGGGTATCGGTCGTCGCTTATGCTTGCCGTGTTGTCCGTGACGGGAACGGTGAGGACCTGAAAGACTAGCGGGATAGGCGGCTGCATGAGTGCGGCTTTGTGCGTGAGGATCGCGGCCAGGTTGGCACCACTAAAAGATGTTGTGAAGATGTTATTGGTGGCGACTTGCAGCCAACACACCTGGATGAACCTCCAACGGCGATCTTGTTGACATTGACGTTCAGCTGCGCAGCGCCTTTCTCATAGACCCATTTAAGAGATTCGACAGCATCCTCCACTGCAGCGGGATACGGATTTTCGGGTGCAAGCCGGTAGTCGACCGAGACGACGACGCAGTTCGCTCCTGATGTGGAACTGTAGCTCTCTGATACGCAGATAACACACGGGCATGCTCACGCTGGCACATATTGGTGCTGAATGCATTCTCGGTGTTAATATTTCCCAACGTCCATCCCCCTGCAAGCACATGAGCATGTTCCAGACGAGTAACGCAAGGTAGGCTCGCCTCCATGGAAAAATAGATACACGGGCCATCCGTCTTGAGGCGCACTGCCCTCTGGTGTGAAGACGCGGACAGCACATTTGCTGAGGGAGAGGTCCTGTACGTCCCCAACTTTCAAGGGCTCGGACCCGCCGGCCACAGGAGGATTCAGACGGACGGCAGGATCCCAGGGAAGGAGATGAAGCGGGATCACATGCAAGTTGTTGGCAGTATGGTACGCAGCATATTCGGGGTCGAGTCTGTCCCGAATGTCGGGGTGAATTGGCTGGTGAATTGGCCGCTCAGTGGTAGGTTCTGCCATTATGAGATGATAAGGGTTCCTGTGAGACTGCAGCAAGTTTATATAGGGAACAGGTGAGCCTTTTGCACTTATCAGAAGCGACGGTTTGTGCCTTGCCACACCGGGCCGCGGAAGGCTCATTCATGGGCTCCGGAAATTGACCTGCTGAGGACGCAGACTTGGAGCAATTGTGGTGGGAGCCGCACGTGATATCAGGCTTGAAGACGGATGGGTTTTATCGATCAGACTCATGAGTGGCGCTGCGACCACTTGTATGTTGCGGGCTGCAGCCTGTTCCCTGCCGTCAACATGTCAGCGTTTACCATACAGACAAAGACTCCTTTTCACATCAGCGCAAAACCCGAGAAGCAGGAGCTACTTGACGAATACAAGGGCAAGCCTCTCAATGCGATCAGAACACCCGCCATCGTCATAGATCGCGCCCTCTTTGCGAAGAACTGCGCCCAGATGCATGAGAATGCAAGACAATGGGGCGCCAGCTTCAGAGCACATGTCAAGTCGCACAAGGTGGGCACAACGCAGTCCAAGTCTAGGTATCGCTGATCTCGACCAATCCTCAGACATCAGAGGGAACCAGGCTCCAGCTTATATCTTCCGGCGACCAGACACACGCGATTGTCGTCTCCACAGTCATGGAAGCCTGCGAGGTCATCAGAGATGGGCTTGTCGCTGACGGCACTGTTAACGATGTAAGTCTAAGCGCTACTCAGGTCGCGCACGAGACTTGACCGCATGAGTAGATCCTCTACGGTTTGCCTGTTGCTCTTAACAAAGTACAAGATCTGTCCTCTTTGTGGGAAGAGATTGCCGCCTTCGATGCCAAGTTGCGTATTCTTATAGACCATCCAGACCAAGTCAAATTCCTCGAGGCCTTCGAGAGATCAAGGGCAAATCCCAGAAGGTGGTCTGTCTTCATTAAGGTGGACTGTGGACAGAAGTGCGCATTCTGCTTTCGGCAATCGATTTAGCAGATAACATTCGATACAGACGAGCGGGACTGGACCCAACCTCTTTGTTATTCAAATCACTCCTAACAACCGTCTTCTCCTCGCCTGTTATATCAGTCTATGGCTTCTATAGCCACGCAGGCAATTCGTACGGATCCACGTCGATGTCAGAAGCAGCTAGTTTCTTGTCACTAGAGATTCAAGCGGTCAACGACGCAGCAGGTTTGGCCTTGTCCATCTTGGCAGAGCAGAATAGGACGGGTCGACAAGAACCGTTTGTTCTCGCCATAGGCGCGACACCGACGGCACACGCGGCCACGGCAAAGTCAAGAGCACAACTGGAGACACACCTGAATGGTAGACTGGAGATTCATGCAGGTAGGCCGAGGCTCTATCACAACGAGCACTTGAGGACAAACATTGGCGCAGGTAATTACCCACTTCTGGATCTCCAGCAATTACACACCGGCCTGGTCGATCCCAAGCGTATCGCGCAACGAGTCCTGGCAACGGTAATCTCGTACTATCCTGGCCGTGGTGAGGACGGCAAAGATGAGGCACTGTGTGATGCTGGGGCTATTGCATTGAGCAAAGATACAGGCCCACTTGGTGGGTTTGGAGACGTCGTTGGACGGCCGTGGCGGCTGGGTCGGATTTCTCAGGAGCATGGAGTATTGACACAGAAAGTGGGGGCACTAAGTGGAGGAGGAAGTCAGGAAAGGCTACAAGTGGGAGAGATGATTCAAATTGTGGGCCAACATGCTTGCTTGATCCTAGCGGCGTATCCATGGTACTACGTGGTAGATTCAGATATGCCGAGCAGAGGAGAGGTGGTAGAGGATGTCTGGGTGCCATGGAAGGGGTGGTGATCCACTAGTACCAGATTTCTTGTTTCTGTCCTAGCTCCGTTATTAGCCAGAATTTTGGACTGCATCTAGTCTGAGATCAAACGCCGGATAGAAGACACAGAGGCTGGCAAAGTCAAGAGCGGAAGAGCACAAGCTGGCAACTCGCGGCTACAGCGCGACGGGCACGTGCACAGCGACCGTTAAGGCGGCGCTTAACTCGCTCAGCCACTCTGAAGGCCTGACCGGTCGGCGGTCGCGTTAGGCTCTTCCTCTTGACTTATTTCCCCTACTTCATCTTTGTCTGACATGGCTGTCGATGAGTACGATGCTGATGCTACGGAGCTTTTGGAAGCGTACGGTATGCTTTTGCTTCAGCTGGTCCTCATACAGATTTACGGAATCGCATTGCAGACTTCTTGATGAAGTACATTATCATTGGTATGTGCAACATATGTCTCGCACGAGTAGGATTACTTCAACATCTGCCATTCAGGAGAAGCCGGAACGGGGAAGTCGTGTCTATTACATCAATTCACACACAATTCTTGTACGTATATGACCGTTCATGGGAGATCTGTTGGGTTGCTGATCTCTTCCACAGTCAAGGAACATTCACAACATACAATCGGGGTTGAGTTTTCTAGTCGTACTGTAAATCTTGGGGAAAAACGGATCAAACTACAGGTATATGAGATTTCGTCGTCTTTTATATGTCGTGTGCCTAACAAGTCGAAGTTATGGGATACGGCGGGGCAAGAGAGATTTAGGTCCGTAGGCGATGAATGCTCTACCATTTTTGTTCACTCATTTACGTCGTGTCTAGATCTGTAACACGGAGCTATTATAGAGGAGCGGCGGGCGCAATACTTGTGTATGATATCACGAGGTACGTATGAACTTGCGTCGACGCACCCACGCCAAATATACTCCACAGCCGTGCCTCATTCGCAAACCTGTCACAATGGCTAGCAGATGCGCGGGCTCTGGCTAGTCCACATCTTGTAACCGTCCTTGTTGGGAATAAGTCAGATCGGGAAGAGGACCGAGAAGTAGAGTGGGCGGAAGCGAGTAGATGGGCAGCCGAGAACAGTCAGTTCCATTTGGAGCTAGAGTCGTTCTCGCAACAACTGACTAATATTGTTGGCAATTAGACGTACACTTCCTTGAGGCCTCATCTCTGACGGGAGACAATGTGGAGGCCCCCTTCCTGCTCTGCACAAGGTCGATACTGCTTGCCATAGAATCTGGCTCCCTCGACCCGGAGAAGGCTGGAAGTGGTGTCAGCTATGGTGCCCGAGCTCTGCGCAGGGTAAATAGCTCTAGCCGGCTTAGCTTCGGAAGCCTCAGTGGCAACCGGCGGAAGAGTACTATCAAACTTCGGCTACCTGGGACTGGTGGTAAATGTTGTTGAAGTCAATGTCCGAACCCATTTACAAGGATCTACGACGCCCGAGTTTTTGAGTGGAGATATCTGTGAGTTGAATCATTTTCTGTATTCGTTGGCCGCTACATATAACCTACAGGTTGACTGGTGGCGCTTTATATCATTTAATGACTCGGAATGCCCATTGCTCTCCTGAGGTTTGCTTCAAGTTGGTTCCATTTTCTTCTCTGAACTCGTTGAGGATCACCATGTTCTGTCCGACGCCGTTACACGTATTTTTTTTAGAGCTGACTGCTATGTTATGGATTTGCTCTATAGTCATCTGCCCCATCCGCCATATGTATTTGTTTAGATGTATCATACCTAGGAGCTTGACGAACACCTGTCGGATACCCCGGCATTGCACTCAGCGGTCTCGGCGGTTATGTATTGCTGATGCCCGCGAATACGAATACGAAGCGTACCCCATGCAAAGTCCATGTTCTGTAAGTTGCCGCCACTCTGAGGACCAGCTTGCGATCGAGCTAAGTGCGGCTCGTGTGTGTGGGTGGGCCGTAACTGTCGGACTGCTCCAGCTGATCCTAGCTGATCCTGCTCTTGGAAGCTCAGTATGAACTGGCGCTCAGGGGCCTGGCTCCTGACATGGTTGTCCGCCACATCAAAAGACAAGTGCGAGCATACCGGCATTTAATACTGCAACGGAAATGAGGTCGAGATATAAAAGGGAGGAGTCGAGGTCGTTGGACGGGAGTAGCCGAGGAGTCTGAGGATACAACGGCCCCAACGGTTCCCACATGGGATGGGTAGGCCTGCGCGATAAGTCGGCACCCCCTTGGGCCAAATTATCTCCTCGCCATGCTCTCCGCCATGCTCCCCTCTTCTCTCCCTCCCATATCCTCCCTCTAGTCTATGGCCTACGTGCAAGACCACGACAGACGGCAGTTATCTAGTCCTTCCTCAGGTCAGTGCAGCTCATCATTCCAAACCGCTTCAGCGGCATCTCTCGCCGCATTTTGCCTCGTGGCCTCAGGCCAGAGGCCCCTCCTGCCAAATTTTGGCGTATGGTGTGCTTGACTTCGCTCGCCCACCATCGTTCACTGCAAGCTGCCCCCGCTCTTCGTATGTTTTCCTATTTTTCTCCGAGTTAGCTCTCATAAAGTGTGTATATGCGGCGTAGGGGGCAGTTCTGTGTGGCTGTGCCATAGTCAATTTCCTCTTCTCTGGCTGCCGTATCGAGCTAGAGCGTAGCTGCTGAACACCGATTTTCTACTATCCTTTCAGGTGTATCATTGCCTGGGTCACGTACCGCGAATTCCGCGTCTACGATCATACGGTCTGGTGCAGGCACAGTCCCGACTACGTCGGATACTTCTCACACCGCCTCAGCAAGTCCCACCATCAGTTCCCCTTCTATGTCCTCGTCTGCGTCCGATTCCGAAAGCCCGGTTCACACGACCTCACCAGCTCCATCGACTCCTGCGCCTAGCCCACCGTACGTCTTACCTATCTTTTTGTATCTTTGATAACTACTGACACCGTACTCGACTGCTCAGCTCACCGAGCACTTCTGCACAAGATTCTCCGACGCCAACTACTGAGCAGGCGACCATGTCTTCGGGCGAGACTACGTCCCCAACTGCGTCTCCTTCGCCTACGACCTCGCCGACAACCTCTCCAACAACCTCGCCGACACCCCCTCCAACAACCACTCCCACGACCACTCCAACGACCTCCCCGACGACCACTCCGACACAACCAACTACGACTACTTCACCGACGGATACAGCTACGACGTCACCGACGACTTCGCCAACACCGCCAACGACGTCTCCCACTTCCCCAACAACGTCTCCAACTCAGCCGACCACATCTCCCACACCTCCCCCGACTACACAGTCCACAACCACCACCCAACTTTCACAGCACCAATTAGCGACATTTTCGCTTACTGACACGTCTTCGTCCACAGGTCCAAGTGAGCAGCAGACGTCTTCTAGTTCATCTACCACTGGGAGCCCAGATGTTCGAACAGCGAGTTCATCCCCTTCGAGCGGGACCAGTGTGGCTTCAACATCAGCTACGTACGTGAATCTGGTATATGATCGATCTTATTGTCTTGATATAAATTTGGTCGATATGCAGGACGACGTTCCCTTCGACGGTGTTCGTGACGACGACTAACAGCCAGGGTCATACAGTGACGTCAGCTCCTCCACTCATCACGGAGACAACATTGGTCAGTGGCAGCGATGGGCCCAGTTATGTGACGATTGTTGTGGCAAACCCGACGGTGCCTCTTAGTGGGGGCAGTGAAGCCGATGCCACTACTTCTCAGTAAGTTCGGCTTCGTATATGCTGAACATGCCCTCCAACTTGGCCTCTTCAGATTTTTCCGCAACAAGGGTGCAGTGGCTGGAGTCTTTTTGATCGTGGGATTAGCCGCAGCATCGATCTTGCTATTCCTGTTCTTCTTCATACGCCGGCGACGTCGCACTCGGAGACTTGAGCAGGACGCGGCGGTGTCCTCTGCTCTTGAGGCCGCAGGACTGAATCGTACTCCTCTGGACGGTGATGACGATGACGGACCCGTGATGAGGCAGCGACGGGGTAGCTCTCTCTCCGGCAACCCATTCCGGGACACGGCCAGCTCGTTGCCTAGCGGAGGCCATCCTCCCTCAAGCTACGTAGACGATCCCGCTGCGGGACCAGAACTAATGCATGACCGCGAATTCGATCCGTACGCTGCCTTCGGCACCATCCATCCGCCACCCCCTGCCTCGCTCGGGGTTTCCAGACGAGACGGATACGCGCCCGCACGCACGAGCAGCCCGCCGCTTCGGGGTTCGGCCCATGACCGCAGCTATAGTTCTGTGCGGAGTGCGAGCATGAGCTCGGCGGGCTTTGGACACAGGGCGCAGGAAAGCTCGAGCAGCAACGATTTGCTGCTTGCAGCCGGTCTACAAGGCACGGGAGAGCCGCCGACGGCAGGGTTGAATGCAAGTACTGGGGACGTGTTCAGCCCGCCCCCGAGGAATCCACAGAGGCTGGCAAAGAATGGGCAGACGGATACGGGCGAGTTGTTGAGTGCAAGGGATTCAGCTGCGTCGTCGATATACTCTCTGCCAGAAGAAGGACCATTTGAAGACACGGCAAGGGCCCCGTTGGAGGTATGTGTCGTGGGACGTGCTTGTCGTTTCTGAAAGCTGACAATGGAGTAGGTACGGAACCTACCTGACGGCGTTAGCGTGAGCGACATTTCGAGGGAGCCGTCTCGCCGAGGATGATGGTGTTGTAAAATTCATAGACTGGGCTTTACTGTGGTTACGGACTTTTCTGCTGGCAAATTATTCTCTCATCGCATTTAACACATTCGTTCATGACAGTACACGTCGCCGAACATTCCTCGCACACGTACTGTACTGATTGGAACCTGGACATTAGACTGATATGTAGTACTTTGGTATGGCTGGCTTTGGACATTGTGCTTCTGTACGGTTATCTAAGTGTTACCATACGTTGCCTGTGCTGTTGTTATATTGTCCAGTTTGGGTGTGCGCAGTCTGGATTCCGGGACCGCAGTTTGATATGCCACAGGCCTTGGACTCTGACCTCCACGTCGTCTGCACGCGCCTGCCTCGATGTTCGTCAAGGAGGACCCAGCCATCGCCGAGCCCGCCAGGGCTGGCCCGTCGGTCGACCCACCGCCGAGCTTCGAAGAGGACTGGGGTGACGCGGTTGTTCCGAGCTACAGCGAGCACTTTGCGGGTTCAGACGTGATTGTTGCGCAGGGCGGAGAGGAGCCACCACCCGCGTTCACCCCATACGACGCCGAGTTCTTCGTCGATGCCAGCGGAGACATCGTCTCGCACGACAGACACCTCAACGAGGACGGTGCGTCGCCGCCGTCGCAGACTGCTGCCTGACACTCAGCCGCCGCCCACAGGAGAGGCGCTGTACCGCTTTCTGCTCTCGCATGCGCAGACACCCCCCGCTGTCTGCGTCCACCTGCGCGGCTCGCACGTCGAGCACCGCACACGCCAGGCGACCTACCGCGACAGCCGCGGCGACCACCGCATCAGGGACGAGCACTACACGGAGAACGTCGTAGGTGAGCCCGCCCGCAGCACCCCGCGCACGCTCCGCAGCTCACGCCCGCCCCCAGACTTTGACTTTTCCATCGACCTGGGCCAGCACATCGCGTGCGGGCCGCTGCACTGGAGCTTCCCCGACGAGCAGCCCGCCTACCGCGGCAAGATGGTCCGGGAAATCGACCAGGGCACGCCCGCCGACGCCAGCCTGGCCCCTGGCGGGCGCAGGAAGGCGACGCGCAAGGAGACAACGCACGCAGAGGCCCGCCGGCGCGAGCTCGACGCGCGCGGGCTGCCGCCCTGGGCCGGGCTCGACCTCGCCG